TTGAGGAGGGGGTGGGGGTGTGGGGAGGGGGTGGGGTGTTGAGAAGGGGGTGGGTGTGTGAGGAGGGGGTGGGTGTGTGAGGAGGGGGTGGGGATGTGAGGAGGGGTGGGTGTTAAGGAGGGGGTGGGTGTGTGAGGAGTATGGTGGCGTTGGGGGAGCAGATGAAACTTGCACGATGTAGTAGTTAAGCATTTCGACACGTGTGTGCGTGCGTGTGTGTGATTTTGTGTGCGTGTCTGTGTGTGTGTTTGTATGCGTGTGTGTCATTATGTGTGTGTATTTGCGTTTCTCTCCATCTCTATTTTCCTGTTTGATTTTGTTATTAACAGTTACATCTCAGAATAGTACTTTGAAAGAACGCCTCAGAAATTATATTCAGAAAGACAAAGTTTACCGCAAGTTATGTCAGATTTATTATATATGTAATTGATATATTAACAATAAACATACACTTTACTTTTCAGATTAAAAGAAAACAAAATATTCCATAAACAACAAAACAATCAGAAAACGACAAAAATGCGTCTTTACAAATACCCCTATCAACATACTGCACATTTTGACTTTCACGCGTAAATTTAATGGTATTAAAATTACCAAATGTATCTTAAATGTACATTAAATGTTTGATTGATATAACGTAACACTAACAGTAATTTAATATAATTACTTTTTCTTCTTGAAAAGTGACAGCTATATTAATGGGAAGAGATAAAGCAGTAAAAGACGGTTTAGTAGTAATACTGTTTACTATAGACGGGTTCAGAGAGGAAAGGCGTAAATTGTACAGACAACCTATCCGTATAGAGAGGATTGGGGTAATTAGCTCGTAAAATATTTTATTTATATGTAAACTGCAGGTGCTGGGGTTGTCTTTAAAAATGGACACGCATGGAAGGAGCTGAGGAGATTCACACTGTCGTCTCTTCGAGATTTCGGCCTTGGGAGAAAAAGTTTAGAAGAAAAAATTCAAGATGAGGCCAGATACTTGGTTCAAAACATTGAAGATGAAAATGGAAAGGCTTTCTCTCCCAGCGCCAGGATTGGGAAAGCAGTCAACAACATTATTTCTATCATTGTGTTCGGAGCTAGGTAAGTGAATAGCCACCCGGTGTCCATAACGCTGAGACTGTCACCTATTTTTGAAGAAGTTATAAAATATAAAACTCCCCACCTTTAAAGATTATGTGTTTTAACACCATCAAAACCTCAGCTAGAATATGAAGACTCTTGCTTTCGCCATACCAAAATCACATAATCATCAAACTAGCAAATTATTCTTTAGTCTATATGTGCAGATAATAAAAACATACCGAGAGAGCAGACGTCCGCCAAGAAATTCACACTAATAAATTGTGGTAGTTGCAAACACATCCCACTAAACAAAGAACGTTTTTTAACGTTACCATAACATGTTTTTGTTATATAAACGTTTTGGTAACGTTATAATAACATTCCGTATCCGTAGGACCATTGCACAGTGACCTAAGAGCACCTTTCGTGATTTTTTTAAAAATAAAACTCATTGGCCCTATCTCGCAAAGAAATCCTTCAAAATCCCTTGATCTAGATGAGGATCCAGAGCACCAGCAAAATCTTGTCATCTTAAAGTTAGCCCACTTTTGAGCGTTCCCTAATCTTTAACCAACATCCATCCTTCACCTTTTCAGTTAGGCTGGTGACAAGCAAACACACATACAACGGAGGAGAACACATTATTGAAAGTAATCATCTACGGAGTATGTGTACGGGGGTACCACCGGTACGCCGTGCATATTCAAGCAAAACAACTTAATAAGCCAACTTGAAAAAAAGTTCAACAACAGACCTTAAAAACGCATTGTTTGTCAGATGTAAACATGAAATCCACATACAGATTATTTTACAGAGAGCATTCTAAAATACTTACTATCTAAAACAGTAGGTAATTAGAGCCCTCTCTTAAAAAGAAAGCGACGTACATTTTATTTTCAACGATTTCAGACATGACTATAATGATATGCCCGAGATGCTGTCAGTGTTGGAGGAATACATGAGAATAGGTCAAGGACCTCTGTCCCTCACTAACTTCGGCCGCTTCCTGATACCGGTAAACGTTGATTTTATCACCTTTATTTGCGTGGTTTGTCTTTTAACCCTCAATTTTAACCTTAATTTCATTCATTTACCTTGTTTTGTCATGTTAAAATGATCCAGCCTGTAGTAAATCAAGTTATACGGTACCATTTGTAATTGACAATGAAGCGGTGTGGACATGTGCACATGAACATCCACTTAACAGTGCAGTAGAGCCTACCTACAGTGTACATGGACAATACTTATAAAACATTTGTGTAACAAAAATACTTGTAAGTACCATATGAAAGTATATGATTTGAGTCATGCAAAATTTATATAAACTCTTATTTTAGGAGAAGAAATTCGTCCTCAAAGACACATTTTATTGTTTGGTACGACAGGAAGTAGAACGACACCGTCATTCCTTTGATCCGACTGACATCCGGGACTTTATTGACCTCTATATAAAGGTCACTCAAGAGAAACTAGATCCAGAGATTTACACAGGTGTGTAACTAGTTTAACTTGTTTAACATTTTAAAAAAATGGCCAGTCAACAAACAGCCCTTACCTTAATTTGTCTTTAATTTTAAAACGCTGGAATTTTTTTGACAGTTGCCAGCTATTTCAAATTTTTAAATTGCATTAAATGTTTCCAACTAGTTATGAGATTCTTTTAGACATTTTTAGTGCATGGTTTTCCGAAATGGTGCTTTCAAGGTTTTTTCATATGCAAGGGTATATATTTCTTTGGAATTTGACGGCCATCTTGGATATATGAAGTTGCCAAAGGTTTCCAAAGTGACAACCAAGCTTAATTTGTTGAAGCTCTCCATGAGAGACCAACTCAAGAAAACTTCACAGGAACTAAAATTCATGTATGGTAGCATCCAGAGTGCCTTTTCGACTATAAGAGAAATATACATAATATTTTCAATCACTTTGACTTCTTCATTGGCGTACATTTCAGAAAGGAACGTGTTCCGAATCATTGTTGATCTATATTTGGCTGGAACCGACACAACAGCTAATACTTTGAGATGGTCCCTGGTTCATATGGTAAATCACCCGGATGTACAGAAGAAGATGCAGCAGGAAATTGATCAGGTAACGACCCACAGTATAAATTAATAGGAGGGACAATCTGAGATAATCTTGTGTTCTTATTTCTTTATTCTGTATGCAATACGTTTGCTGGTTGTGCATCTGTCTGTATACAATATGTGCTTTATTTAAGGTCATAGGCCAAGGTCGTGTTGCCAAGATGGAGGACAAGGCCAGGATGCCATTCACTGAAGCAACCATGCTGGAGGTCTTTCGCATGTCTCCTATTCGTAAGTAATTTTTTTAACTTTTGAAAAAATTTTATTTGGTTTATAACAGTGAAAACCATTTCCAAAATATAAAAAAACTAATTTAACAATAATGAAGAAACAACAGTGCTTGTTTAATAAAAAGTGCAAGTTGCATGTTTGATTTAAAATGCGATTTCAAGAAAATTTCTGGTATAATCTGTAGGTGGAAATAGGAAAGACTTGAGGAGGAGTTCGATACAACAGATTAAGTTTTATAAGCAAAGTTCGTAATTATTCTGCCTGCTGCGTGTACCACTATAGCTAGACTTGCAACCTTCTTGATTTTCGAGCGATTCCATCAAAATCTTATCTCTCTGTCTCTTGCTCAACTTAAATGAATTTATTAAAAAAAAACATATTTATTCCGTATCATTAGTTTCCTTTGGTGTTCCCCATGCAACGAGCGAAACTACAATTTTGGCCGGTTACACCATTCCCAAAGACACCATAATACTGGGAGATTTGTACCGGATTCTTCACGATAAGAATAACTTCGATGATCCTTACAACTTCAAACCAGAAAGGTGGCTTGATGGCGATGGTAAAGTGATCAAGTCGGACAAAATGATATCGTTTTCCATTGGTACGTTACTTAATATTAGACCTTCATGTTACCATGCAGTGGCACATTAGTGAAATCATCACTTATGTATGTCTATATAACTACTAAACCTTGTCTATGTAAAGAAAATCAGAATTGCTTAAATCCGATCCATAAATCTATGTATTTAAGTGTACATTAGCTCATTGTGATCGCTTATTTGTATTTCAGGGCCTCGTGTTTGTCTTGGTAAGGGCCTGGCTGAAATAGAATCGTTCATTTTTTTCACCACATTGCTTCAGAACTTCACCTTCAAGGTACCGGAGGGGGAGAACCCGCCCAGTGGAGTGGAGGGTCTGCATGCGATCACTTTCTCGCCACACGACTACAATGTGTGCGCAGTTAGGCGCTAGAAATACCCGGACTAAAACGATAAACTGAATCTTAGTTTATAGAAAGCAGAATTTTACCCCATACCTCACTTACTATAGATATTATTACATATACACCTTTGGTATTGAAATTAAGCGCAAAACACAGGGGTCATTTTGAACTAATTTGATTGCAATTTATACATAAACTCCAGGAAACGTTAGACTGCGTATTTTTTTCTCCAAATTGCCACATTCTGTGTAGCTCGTAATATCTTAGGCAAAGTGCAAATAAATTCTTTGTTCAAACAAGTTGCAAAGTATTCGCTTTTTTATATCTTGCCCTGACTGTTAGATATGGAATTCAGATATGTTATATAAAAAACAAATACGTGATATTGCCCTATCTATATGATATGATAAAATGAGTTGTTAACTTAGTGAAAATGAAAAGATGAACAAAATGTGAACGAAGATCTTTCCAGAAAACTGGAATATGAAGTGGTCTTCCACAATATGAAAAGCTATAGCTTAATTCTTGAAAAGTAAAAGTCAAAGAATATGTAATTGACGGTGTTTTCGAGGCGTGAAAGTTAGAAAAAAAGGACATTTTACATAATGGAAGTTGAAAGAAGACCTTTCGTCAAAAAAAAAATTGATTAAAGATGTAAATAAATGAAAGGTTATGAAAGGTGTTGTTTGTGCTGTGAATGAGATTCAATTTTGTCCTCTGTTTAAAAAAATCAAGATCCTATCAAATGGTTTTCGAGTTTGAACATCTTGTCCTCAGAATGGGCTTCTACTCATCCGGGATATTTATGAGAACTGCATGAAGACATCTGAATGTATACACGATATTCATCACGATTTTATGTATGGCATTGTTATTACTTAGCTAGTCTCTTATATAAGATATGTAAGTACATATGCATGCTCTCAAGATCGTAGTTAGATTGAGCAAGTAGTATTTTGTTAAAACTTGGGTTGAAGTAGACGGATTACTTTTGCGTCTCTTTTTGAAAAATCATTCCTTGAACTTTCGTGTGGAATCTCGCCATCTCTTCATGTCAGTGAAGTTAGAAACATGGTTGCATAATACGCCTCTGCAGTAATACCTGCACGTACACACATATACATTGCACATAAAGATGTCAGGAATATAGATCTTGTTTCGTATGGGATACTCGTACAAGACCTTACAGCGGTATACTGCTTATATAATTCTAGCTCTTTCAAGATACTGGAGAAGCTGCTGTTACTGTAGAATCCAAAATGGCCAATGTCATACAGAGTTTCTCTGAGTTTTTCGCAACCCTTGGTTGGCCGACAATTATGATATTCGTGGCAATGTTGTTGTTAGGTCTGTGGATGCTGTCGTCGAGGAATCCTCGGGTGAACTGGCCGCCCGGACCTGTGTGTTTCCCCGTGGTGGGATGTCTCCCTCAGCTGATGATCAGCGGTAAAAGACGACAACCGACAGATCTTCTTCCATGGTATGATACATACGGAGATATCATGCACATCAAACTTGGTGAACAACACATAATAATGCTGGGCACATATGAGCTGATAGAAGAGGCTTTCGTGAAGAATGCAGCTACAGTCAGTGCTAGGCCTACCTGGGCATATTACATAAGACGTTTAGTCGGAAAAGACGGTAAATAAAATGATTTCAAATTTTTATGTAAGTTAGCTTTCCAATAGACAAGGACGCAGGTCCCTATTAGCATAATATGTAGGGCACGGGTTAGTAAACAACCTGATATTGTTTGGTTTTGCTTGTCACCCCCACCCCCACCCCCACCCGTACCCCCAATCCACCAAACCCAACATTGGTACATGTTCTCACATTTATTTAGGAACACACGAAAGTGAATGGTGTAAAGTCCGCACCGCATGACCTGATATCTTTTATGTAGATGTAGGCCATGTCAACTTGGATTTTTCATATAGCAACTGAAACAATCTTCTCATTATATAGACCCGACTACTTAATTAATCCTGTAAGATTTAGAGCATAGGGGGTGGGGGTGCGAGGAGGGGTCGGGGTGTTGCAGGGGCGTCACCAGACCTTTTAAAATTGTACGCACAGATTTTGAAAATTCCCAGGTACGATTATATTCCGTGAAAAATACACTGAATTTACTGAGAATAATATCATGGTTGGCTAAAAAAATTGTACGCACAGTGCATCCGTGCGTATGCCTGGTTACGCCCCTGTGTTGAGGAGTGGGGGTGTGAGGAGGGGGTGGGGGTGTGAGAAGGGGGTGGGTGTTGAGGAATAGGTGGGGGTGTGAGAAGGGGGTGGGGGTGTGAGGAGGGGGTGGGGGTGAGGCAGGGGGTGGGTGTTGAGGAGTACATGTAGGTGGGGGTGTGAGGAGGGGGTGGGGGTGAGGGAGGGGGTGGGTGTTGAGGAGTAGGTGGGGGTGTGAGGAGGGGGTGGGTTGGGGGAGCAGATGAAGCATGTAGTGGTTAAGCATTTCGACACCTGTGTGTGTGTGTTTGTGTGTGTGTGTGTGTGTGTTTGTGTGTGTGTGAGAGAGAGAGAGAGAGAGAGAGAGAGAGAGAGAGAGAGATTGTCTCTGTGTGTGTGTGTGTGTGTGTGTGTGTGTGAAAGATTGTGTATGTGTGTGTGTGTGTGATTGTCTCTGTGTGTGTGAGAGAGTGTGTGTGAGAGAGAGAGATTGTGTGTGTGTGTGTGGGCGTTTATGTGATGATGATTATTGTGTGTGTGTGTTTGATTGTGATTGTCTTAATTCAGGTAATTGAGTCATAAAATAGTTTAATTATATGTAAACTGCAGGTGCTGGAGTTATCTATAAAAACGGACACGCATGGAAGGAGCTGAGGAGATTCACACTCTCGTCTCTTCGAGATTTCGGCCTTGGGAGAAAAAGTTTACAAGAGAAAATTCAGGATGAGGCCAGATACTTGGTGCAAAACATTGAAAATGAAAATGGAAAGGCTTTCTCTCCCAGAGACAGGATTGGGAAAGCTGTCAGCAACATTATTTCTATCGTAGTGTTTGGAGCTAGGTAACTCAATAGCTATATTAAGCGACTAGTAAAAAATATTTAAGATGTCTTAAATGATTTGCGGAGTATGTGTATAGATCAACATGTAGTGTCGGTACGGTGCACAAATGTAAGCATAATAATTTAATTAGCCAAACATGTTAGTAATAGATGGTAGCAAGCCTGACTCCAAAACATCGACATATTTCTAGTGATTCATGTTTCCATCAACCACTATCAATTCGCCCACGCCATGGTAAGCATAATAATTTAATTAGCCAGATCATAAAAGAAGTTTTATACTATGCGAAAACGGTTGACAAACGTGAACACGGAACGTATGTGTTAATAATAAGCATTCCATAGAACATTCTACTAGAAATCAATTGGCTTCATCTGAGATCGCCCAAAGTCTCTCGAAGTATCGGAAAAGCAAACGCAATGTATTCAGTATACATACACACACTGGACAATAGAAGTGTCACCCCTACTGAACCAATACTTTGGGGGAGATAAATGACTGTGGAATGATATACTCCTGGTATCATTTTACTAACTTCAAATTTCACGAAAAATCACAAAATGAGAACAAAAAATACATTCTACCAAAATATGCAGTTTCAAGTCCAAAATTAGTACTTAGTGGCATAGCCACGTGACCTGATAATAGGTGCCAGTCTACGAGGCAAGGATTCATCTAATTGTCTGATGCGTTCAGGGCTTATGCTGGCCCAAGCATGAAACACTGAATATAACAGAGTTTCTCTGCTGGTCAGACGGGCATTTGTCAAAAGTTTTGACATATCATTCCACACATTTTCTATTATGTTTGCATCCGGACTCACCACATCACCCTGCTAATGTCCTGTTGGTCAAACCAATCATAAACTGATATGGGCCTGTGGCAAGGAGCATTGTCATCCTGGTGAACAAATGGATAATTCCTGTCACCAAACATGTTAGTAATAGATGGTAGCAAGCCTGACTCCAAAACATCGATATATTTCAAGTGATTCATGTTTCCATCAACCACTATCAATTCGCCCACGCCATGGATGCTGATGCAGCCCCACACCATGATGAATATGCTGCTCCGGGTTCGAAAATTCAGTGCATGTGGTTCAAATGCTTTACCAGCATTTCGCCAGCATCGTACCCGTCTGTCATCAGAGGTCAGACCAAAGCGACACTCACCAGAAAAAATATTTAGGACCAATTGTCATGGACTGTCCAGTTCCAGATCCTGTTGAGCCTAGTTCATTCTACGTTGCCTGTTTTGTAACGTTTCAGTCTTGCTACCCTACTGTACACTCTCTGAGCATGTAACCGAGGCCTAGCAATTTTCACAGACACATTCTTATGTGTGAAATTGTTCCACTGTGTTGTCAACTGACAAGCAGTGTCGAACTTTGACAACCTGGACATCAAAATCAGCCGTCGGTCTTCACGGCCAGTAGTTTTTTTGGACGACCCATCAGAGGGAATTTGTCTCTTGATCCGCTTTCTATGGTCTTAAAAAAATTTCCAAACTATCTCACATCCTTGATAAAAGTCAAATGGAGAGGCTTGTCCATGCCTTTATAACTTCACATCTTGACTACGGAAACAGTCTACTGTATGGTCTTCCTAACTATCAAATTGAAAAATTGCAATCTGTCCAAAATGCTGCAGCACGACTACTGACCAAAATCCCTCTCAGATCAAACATTTCACCCATTTTATTCGAACTACATTGGCTTCCTGTACGACAGAGAATTGTTTTTAAATTACTGTTGTTTGTTTTTAAATTCACTAGAGGTGAATGCCCCTCATATTTTAACTCGATGCTACATCCAAGTACACCCAGTCTCACCAGGTCTACCAGATCCACCTCCACTCCTTGTTTTATCAGAAATGATAATAAAAAAACAACCAAAACCTATGGCCACAGGGCATTTTCAATTTCAGCACCAATTTTATGGCATNTCTTAAAAACATTTCCAAACTATCCCACATCCTTGATAAAAGTCAAATGGAGAGGCTTGTCCATGCCTTTATAACTTCACATCTTGACTACGGAAACAGTCTACTGTATGGTCTTCCTACCTATCAAATGGAAAAATTGCAATCGGTCCAAAATGCTGCAGCACGACTACTGACCAAAATCCCTCTCAGATCAAACATTTCCCCCATTTTATGCGAACTACATTGGCTTCCTGTATGACACAGAATTGTTTTTAAATTACTGTTGTTTGTTTTTAAATTCACCAGAGGTGAATGCCCCTCATATTTTAACTCGATGCTACATCCAAGTACACCCAGTCTCACCAGGTCTACCAGATCCACCTCAACTCCTTGTTTTATCAGAAATGATAATAAAAAAACAACCAAAACCTACGGCCACAGGGCATTTTCAATTTCAGCACCAATTTTATGGAATCAATTACCCTCACACATTCGGACTATTGACAGTGTTGAGGTTTTTAACCCTGGTAGTGCTGACCCCAGAATATTCCGGGATGCGTAGCTACGCGCTGTGAGCTGGGCCCGGAATATTCCGGGTCTGTCTATACGTCAAAACCTTCTGATTTCAAAGTGTATTTATAACCATCCAAGGAAATAAATCGTAGCAAATAAGCTCGTATGAGGTCATAGACAACCAATCAAAAATAAAGTAACATTACGTTTATCCATTTTCTGCGTTTTGATTGGTGTAAATGTGTCTTTGTTCTGAAGAATCATAAGTCCATTTAAACATGGCGGAATTCCTACCTGAACATCAAGATTTCTTCAACAAATTGATAAATGATGACAAGAGTGATGACGAATTTGAAGGTTTTCTACCTTCTGATATTGCTAATGATGGTAGCAACCGGGAAAGTGATATTCTGATGAATCAGAGCAAGCTGAAACTGGTGATATTTGGCAAGACGGAGATCAACCTCGTGTGACAATGCCGTTTACTGAACGACCTGGTTTGCGGCTTGATTTACCAGAGGGCCAGTCATCTCCTTTGGATTTTTTTCATCTTTTTGTGGATGACAATGACTATGAGACCATGGCAGAGGAGACAAATCGTTATGCTGACGATTTTTTACAGCAGAATGAAGCTACATGTACACTGAAGCCAACTTTGAGATTCCGAAACTGGGTCAAAACAACAATGGCCGAAATGAAAATTTTCATCGCGATGACTATCGCTAGGGGGATCGTCGTACAGCTGGATCTTTCTGAATATCGGATGACTTCTACGGTAAATTCTATGCCTTTTTTCCCTTCCTGCATGTCCAGAGATCGTTTTTGGCTGCTAATGAGCTTTTATCATCTAGCAAACTATGCCCTTCTCGTTCCACGTGGGAATCTAGGTCACGACCCATTATTTAAACTTGGCTCACTTTACAAGAACATTATTGCTAGATTTGGTTCAGTGTACATGCCAAATAGACACTTATCGTTAGATGAGGGTATGGTCCCATGGAGGGGGCATCTTGCGTTCCGTGTTTACAACCCTGACAAACCAAAGAAGTATGGAATAAAGGCATACATGATCTGTGACGGTGAGACTGGGTACTGCACCAAGTTTAAACTCTACACAGGTAAATCAAACACACCAGTCAGTCAACATGGAGCAACTTATGATTTAGTGATGGACATGATGAGGGGATATTTTGGACAGGGTTACATTCTATACATGGACAATTATTACAGCTCCCCAAAATTGTATAAAGATCTATTTTCACTGGGGTGTGGTGCTACAGGAACTTTGAGAGCAAACAGGAAAGGGGTACCTCAAAAAATTTTGAATACTAAAGTCAGCAAAGGGGAACAATTCACAATGAACAATGGGACTCTTTTAATTACAGTACCAAATACCGGCCATGACAGAAAAGTTGTACATCTAATTTCCACAATAGAGCAGGCTGAAATGACACCCACTGGAAGGAACATCCCAGGCACAAACACACCCATTGTAGTGCCATCCATTGTACGAGAATACAATAGATTTATGGGGGGAGTGGACCGCTCTGACCAAATGGTTTCATATTCTACCTTCAATGCCAGGACTCTGAAATGGTGGAAAAGAGTAACATTTCATGTTATTTCTCTTGCTGTGTTGAATGCCTATCTCCTGTACAAGACCGTCACCACTGGCAACCCCATGCTCCACAGGGTATTCCGTAAACGCCTTGTTGCAGATTTAATTAATTCAGTTCAAGGACATGTCGTCCCCTCTAAAAGTGTTGGCAGACCCAGTACTAGTGATGACTCTCTATTCAGACTTATGGGCCAACACTTTCCTATCAAAATTACAGCTACTTCCTGTTGGGGAAAAAAGGAAGAGAACTGGAAAAGAATCCAGCTATAAGTGCGACAAATGTGATAAAGCACTTTGTGTCGATCCTTGTTTCAAACTTTTTCATACCCAGAAGGACTTTATAAAAGCTTACAATTCATTAACTGAGAAATGAACATTTTAAAAACTTACAGGTGTGCTCAGGTGTGCATTATGATTACATAATCAGGTAAATAGGTCATGTTACCTGAAAAGTTTGCTACTTTTACTGGATTATGATTTCACTTCACATTATTACAGAGAAATGTTGTTATATGAATCAATTTTGCTGAATTTGAGTCTTTATTTGTTGAATAACTTGAGTGAAAGATATTGAGGTATGTATGTCACCTGTATTTTACCTGCATTAATTTATCTCATGGTTTTCACATTCATTATTTAACTTCCCATGGTGATGGCTTTTGACTTATAGTTGGTGTCTAGTTCATAAAAAGTATGAAACAAAGACTAATTGTGGACTCAAATATTAATTTTAATACAATTTTGACACACCTGTATTTACCTGCATTTTTACCTGAGTCAACTGACAATTTGAAGCGTATATCTCTTATCATTATATAGTAGTTTATCTGAGCAACAATTGTAGTACAGTTTGTATTTGATTTAAACATATTTTCATGGTTAATATTGAAGTATTACAGAGAAGGTAAGTGTTCAGAAATGGAGGTTTCTGAAGCAAGGTATGGCGTTCTTACCTGTAATTTTACCTACATTTTTCAGTAACAAGGAGTAATGAAACCTCACCCAAATTGTAACCTAGGTATGAGAGCTTGCATTTACAGCAGAACTGTTCTATTATAAGTGATTACAGAACACAATTTTAGATTTTAAACATCTAAATGTGTTTTATTTACATACACCTGTATTTACCTGTCCATTACCTGTACGTAACAAAAGAAATGTGTGACATTGGAATATATATATTCATAGAGCTGATGTACTTAGCTACGCGGTGATGTATAATAAGTGTATGTAAATGCCTTGGTTTGCAAATTAAAGGAAAGTAAAAAGGAAAATATGATTTTGTTTTGTTTCCTTCTAAAATATTCAGCTCACAGTGCATTAAAACCATATGGATATTCAGCACTTAGAAGGGTTAAAAAAGATTTAAAAACATTCTTATTTGCACAGTATTTTAATTAATATTTTCTCATTTTATCAGAAAAAAAGTTTTATTGTTCAGACCATTACTATTTTAACCAGCTTTAATTATTTTAATTGTTTTTTACCGTAGCTTTTATTATATATATAATTAGCAGACATGCTAAAACTGTCGGTCCGATCGGTCATGACCGGCAAAATTTGTCTGGACCGGTAAAAAATTGTACTGTGTCGGTCCAAAGGACCGACAAGAGTTTTAGGCGCCGCCATTTTGAATTAACAGTTATCGTTCGATGTGCTTCAGAAATAAAATTATATAAAATCCACATCATTTTTTCTTTCATTTAGCTAGCGAAACGTAAAAATGACCACATTTTGGTCACATTCACTTACTAAGTACGCAAGCCAATCGTATTATCCCTCTCAAACGAATGGGTACTTCCCCAATGGGGAATCCCCCTGCTCTCGATATTACGCGCCCTGTCATTGGTATATTGGCCACGACATACAGACAGCTATCACGAGGGCGGTCCACGCTGCCAAGCACATGTAAACATGCAGGAAAAATGTTTAATGCTAAACTTGGACACCCGACTCATTTCTCAAGAACAATTATTCATATGGGAACCAAGGATAATGACGCCTGGCCTTCAAAGGTACGTATACATCGTTATTCGTTCTTTTTTGGGGAAAAAAACGTTGATAGTGCATGGAAATGAGGTCACCCGATTCACCCAAACGATTTCAGAATTATAGGACTGAATCTTATGCGTAATTAGTGGTGATTGTAACGATATCTAACTTATGGGTACTTTCGTTTGCATTCAGCTTATACGCAGCAGTGCCTTCTGCATAGCGACGTTTTACGTAAAGAAAGTTTGACAGTTCGGTCGCTTCCTCGAACCTACCGAAAAAAACTTGATCCATGGTGTATGAACGTAATGTTTCACAGATTTTAAATATCCAGTAAGCATAAACGCGATACCAGTTACCACTACCAGTTACAGTTTTCATTTTATCAATATTTTTATTATTTTAGATTATGATATCGTCGAGTCCTGACCAGGAGGCCGTTCGTTTCCATGCAGAAAAGACAGATACAGTGAAGTGGCTAGCATGTTTCACGCATTGGCACTCACATTCTGACTATAATATGTACTGTTTGTGTAGCATCAAAATTTGCATATTATTTTCAAGGATAGGAGAAATTGACCAATAGCAAATTTTGCTATTGTTGAACAGTGGAAATTCATTTAATTTTTTATCAAATTCATTTCAAATTGAAATAACTCAACATTAAATTTTTGGAGAAATTGATCATGATAAAATTTATAATTAACCTCAATTTATGACATGGATATGAAATATATGATGAATTCCTTGCTTTTCTTCCATATATCATTAAAACATACTATAATACATGTAGGTGAGACACTTGCCAGAATGGCATGTCCTGAAAAATTAAGCCGTACACGCTGTACTATTGAATTAAAGGACAAAGTGTGAAATTCAAGGACTTTCAAAGGAAGAAACAAATTCAAGCTCTTTTAAAGGCCTGTATAAACCCTGGAACTTGTGAAATGAGAACAAAAATAAAGCAGTGCTTCACAAGTGTCAGTTTTTGTTTTTAAAATTTACAACATGTCCAAATTATCTAATAGTATTACTGAATATGTATTTACAAGAGTTACTTCTGTGTACTACTATGCAAACAAAACGTTTCCATCATTGAATGGAAAATTTTCGGTCCGGCAAAAGTCCATTCGGTCCGGCAAAGTTTTCATCACTGCCGGTCCGAATGTCCGGCAGTTCTGAAAAGTTTTCAGCATGTCTGCCTTAGTTGTAATCCTGATAATTTTACCTGTAAACAGCACTGAGACGCTAGTGTAGTGCGGTTTTAAGAAATAAATATTATTATTATTATTATTAGATAATGCAGCACCCGGGCCAGGAAGCATCACTCCCGCAGCAGTCACGGGGGAAGACACTTCATCTGAGCTTGAGTGGGATCATTCGCTGAAGCTGAGCTGATAAGAGAATATCGTCAGCCACGACATCACTACAATACTTGTTATAGAAAGAGAGTGAGTGAATGGGCGGAAAAGGAAGAAGTCACATTAGGGCCCAAGTTTCCCCATCTCGAAGACATAAAACAAAAGAGACGTTTGGCCATGTCAGAGATAGAAAGGACAAAAGGGAATCAGAAACGAAGACACGTAGACGAGGCTATGAACATGGACTTAGCCTTGCTCTACTTCTCCTTGTTGTAGAGTGGACTAACGCTAGTGACATAAGCCCACTGAACGACGGACTACTCATAACTGGAAGAGAACCCATGAGAATTCAGACCATTGAATTGACTCTGTTAGTTGTAATTGACTGACCCACATTCAAGCTACCGATCGAAGACACTTTAAAAGAAATGCAGACGAAAATAGGTACCACTTATCAAGATGGCTGGATTGAACCAAAGGCCTTGTCACAGTTGATAAACCGATTACAAAAAGCCAGGAGAGCGCTGATAAAGATGACTTCCATAGCAAATTACCACCTTGATCTGCCAAAGATTGAAAATCCAAGCACCGTTCGTAATGGCCGGCGAACTAAGCGAGGACTCTTCAATTTCGGCGCTGATCTAGAAAAATCCATTTTTGGTCTTGCTAGAGACGAGGACGTGGAAGAACTCAAGAATATTGTTGTAAGTACAAGAAGAAATAATCAAGTTCTTGTACATAGAGTCAAAAAGCTCGTCTCCATATTAAATCACACCATAGATACCATCGACATAGGACGTCAACGTCTCAATGATATATCCAATTATTTGAATACAGTCGTCACTAATCGCTTTAGAGACTTGAACTGATTCGCTAACCTGACCAGGATTGGACTGAATAGAATGTGGGCCACCTACCAGTTAGATCAAAGGTATACTCATTCGAACAACTTGTGAGGGAATACAGGATACTTTTTGACAAGTTCAACAGTCAAAAAGCTAGTTTAGAACTGGGACGCCTGACAGAAGAGCTCCTGCCACTGTCTCAGCTGTTGGAAATGTTAGATCTTGCAGCAAACAATGTGACGGATGTGTTGATTGACCCGCTGCAGTGGTATTACGAACATATCACGGTCTCCCCGGTGTGGGGAGGGAGCACTTTGATCTATAAGGTCAAGTTGCCATTGATCAGCCGAGAGGAAGCGACCAGGTATGATATACGGTCCTTCAAGCAACCATACAACATCACAGGGTTTGCTAGCTGAATTTTGCATGGTGAAAACAATATTGGCATTGTAGAGCGGACCGGAAATGTGTTTTACCCGTCTGGCTGCCTCGGTTGGAAACCTCTGGTGTGTAGAACAGGCGCTGTCTACAACCTCATGCGCAGAGGAGTGCATGTAAGGTGGAGCTGACCTCGGGGGAAGGCATTTTTACTGCCACGGAAGTTGTCTTGGGTGAATATGTATTGGTGACTTGGGGAAAGGAGGTGTCCAAACGTTGCCACCGTTCCAGACCAGTCTCCTATCCGCTCAAGGCAGGAACATATCTAGTGTCAGTCCAGGTGCAATGTGCGATAACAGGAAGTAACTTTACCCTTCCCGAAATAACAGAGAAAGCAGGTAGAGTCTCACTCAGATCACAACTATTAACCGACATTCCATCCCTAAACGTGCACGGACTCATACCACCAGGAATTGTCGCTAAAAGATTGAGAAACCCAAACTTTCAAAATCTTGAACCGGTTGCACATCTTCATCTCGCACCACTGAGTGAGCAGGAAGTAGACTTTTGGTCTGCCCCGACCAGCGGCTCTTCTGTTACGTACGCCGTGGGTATTGTCATGGCATGCATGATAGTACTGATTGTTCTTTGTGTTTGCTTACGACGTCATCGCAAACGACTTTCTTTTCATGTTCGCCGACACAGCCGACCAGATCCACCGGAACCAATACAACTGAGGATGTTGGCAGATACAATTCATCAGTATGAGGAACCAATGGACTTTGATCCACCGGCAACTGGGACCTCACATGAGACGACGCAACGTTTTGCTGAACAACCTAACACCTTGGAGATCCCACCGCCTCCAGAATGTCCAGATGGAGAGGACGGCAATCAATCCCACTCTCCAGACGGGTACCTCACAATGCGGCGAAATGAAAAACAACCATACTCAAATGCAGGGAATAATATCACAACAGTTCTTTATACCATCCCACGGTAAAAAGAACACGATATTATGTGTGAAAACGTTGATAACAAACATTTGAAAACATTGACTGAACGATTCATGGACAACGAACATTGATGACGAACACTATATGAATGTTGAACAATATATGAACATTGAACTTCTTAAATTTTGAAGTGAATTAAGGCATTTAGTAGTAATATGTAATACTTTATAGCTCTGTAGATCTTTTCCTTTTAAGAGTGTTGGTTTAAAGACAAGATGGAACTTGTCTTTTGGGGAATGAAGGTGTAAAGTATGTGCCTCCTTGATCTGAAACATTACGCAACATTTTCGGTAATCCAGAAAACCACACTAGTATTTCATTCAAGTGTGTGTTGACCAAATCATTAAGAGAGACCATTTCCTTTTTGGCAAAATTAAATTTTTAATGATTTTCATTTATTCAGCCCTTTTGACAAGTACGTGCTTTAGGCAATGATTAGAAAATCATTTGGCTGATAAATGAATCTTGACCACCAATCAACCATAACGCTAATGAGAGGACAGCACAGAAATACCCCTTTAAGTGACCTAACCCGGTCTTCCCCTCCCAGTGTCCGGGGCTCGGATGAGTCTGGCCTGGGGTTCCAACCTCGGTCCATTTGTCACATTAACAGCCTTTGCATGACAATGGTAAGTTCTTTTAACTACTAAGTATATATAAAGCAGGGATTTTCCCTTAGCTAGTAGTCTTTTCCTCCTTTAATACTATCTCATAGTATTGAAGCTCTCTGAATAAGCAGCACTATTGTAGTACTGTTAGGTACTGGACTTCATCACCAAGACAAGACTGATGTAGTAATAAAAGTGTAACTACTCAAGTGATCGACTTGTTACTATTAAAAGACTGCACCAAATCAACACTGTGCGGCGGGACTTGTTAATCTTGCATTCTGTTGTGTATTGTAAGGTGTAAACTTTACGAGCATGTATGTAAAAATCTATAGATAATGTCAGTAATTCCATCATTATTTGGTTGTTAAAACAGTATATTTCTTACTTAGGGACGAATACTATTCACCTACTAGAGACTTTGACAAAAGTGATTTTTACTGAGTTTAGTTACAACAATGGTATGAAGAGTAGTCTGTAGCTTTAATTGGCATCCATAACTGTCAGCTAGACCAATGTTTGCCACTGAAGTTAAATGGGCAATAAAACTAGAGGATCAGAGAGGCAATACCGCCTCCGAATATTGTACCACCAGCTGGAGCAAGCGCATTCGTATAGACCCCCACATACACAACATAAGGGACACACAGCCACCAGTTTTGTGCTTGACAAGCTGTAAAAATGCAATCAACAAGAATTTTTAAACTATTGCAAAAAATATATATGGTACAATCAAATTTAAGTTCTTTGTAAGATAGGTCAAGGGTCAATTTCAAGGTCACAGTAAATTGCCAGTATATGACTTCCTATTCAAGTTCAAGAGTAACTATGGACCTATCTCTGTCAAGTTTGAAGTTAAAAGAGAAAGAAATTAGCAGAGTTCACTTCATGATAAAAAGTAGGTCAAAGGTCAATTTCAAGGTCACACTTAGATTGCCAGTATAGGACTTCCTATTCAAGTTCAATAGTAACTANGACCTAAATCCATGAGATGGGTACGGGGGCCCTTACCGTCTAGGAGGAGAAGCGGTAACGGTAGCCGTCCGGCGGAGCCGGCGGAACGATCCGGACGGGACCGAAACCATGTGTACCGCCAGCGCTAACGCTGGTGGTACAAAAAGTACCAAAACAAGCAGTAAAATGTACTATGCTGAACATATTTTAACATTAATAATAGGGTCAAAGGACTGATCAAATATTCAACCATTTCTGACATTGTGAAATGTGGTGACATTTCTGTGCAATTGATCCTAATGGTTTAATGTTTTCTAAGGTGGATGAAAATGTTGAAAAGGCAAAGACCAGACAAAGGGAAATGTACGCTAAAAGAAAAGCTAAGGTAGTAAAAACATTTCAATTGAAGGTTGGTGATGCCGTTTTGAAGAGGCAAATGAAAAACGTCGGGAGAAAGGGAGGCAAACTAGAGAGTTTCTGGATAGGACCTTACAAGTAAGTTATTTGAATTTTTTTATTGAAAAATATATAAAACAGGGTGGACAAAAACAAAACTTGTGGAAAAGTTTAATGTAGAAACTATTTTTATTATTTGGAAGTTATCAATGAAAACATCTATGATAGTTTGAAAGAGAGATGCTGAGGGACAGAGAGTTGTTGCAGAAAATAAATTTTACCATTCTAGTACTTCTTTCTTTTAGGATCATAGACATTGACCAAAATAACACTGTTCAGCTTCAAAGTGAAAAGACTGGTGAAGTTCTGGAGAAGAGAGTGGCATATGACCAGGTACAATAAAACTGAAAATATGTATTGTATATTTAGTAACTGAATGATTCTATAATTTCATAGTTGAGCAAAACGTTTTCCCTTTATTAAAAAAGAAGACTAATTATCAAGTTCAGCAACATTTAATTGTCCTTTCTATTCAGCAGGAAAATGAAATGAAAAAGTGCAATGACATAGTGGGAATTAATTTTTTCTTAAATTTTTTCACAGATGAAGCCTCATTTGGAGTCACATCTCCACAAGAAACAGAAACTTGATGCTGCAGATGACATTGTGACACCTAGTCCTGCACTGAACGTGTTGAACTACCCCCTCTGCTTCTTGGAGACCAACCACTCCACCAACATTTCGAAGATGGACCAGAATTAGAAATACATTCCATACCAAAACCAGACACAAAGTTAGTCATAGGAGACAACACTTAAATTTGGAGATGGGTGACTTAAGAACATTGGATGGGAAAGAATGGTTAAATGACAACGTAAGTTATTTCATATTCAGCAAAATGGGTGCAATCATATGGTTAATATTTGTCAGAAATGCCTTAGAATCAGTCATCACATTTTTTGCACTTTTATTATGGTTTATGATTTTTAACCCCCAATAGAATTTGATAACTAACTAAGCACTGAGTAATTAATACTCCTTTAAGTGAAAAGGAAATTACTGAGACAGCATTTAAGGGTTTGATCCTAATTTCTTGCATATTTCAATCATACTTGCATCCACATATTATAAACAAGAATTATAGTGAAAATTAAATTGCCATAATATTTGGGGTTTGAACTTGAACATGGAATGGTGTTTCCCCGCATAAATATTTCACTTTCTGGTTGTAATTAGCTTACTGTAGGTGTATGAAAAGTAGCTCCTTGATGGATGTTTACTTTTGAGTAATGTACCACAATTCACAATTATTTTTAAGTGGTCCATGGCTATCTTGGACTTCTTGCACAGCAGGCATCATGAGAAGACAAAACCCCAACCTATGTGTTTCCTTGTTTTTGGGCAACTCTTTGGGAGAAAAATTATTTTGATCATTGGCTCTGCCAGGATGTGATTATTATTTAAAAAGTTATGTGTTAAGAGTCTTTGCTACTGTCTTGATACTTTTGTGGTAATGAGTTATGTTTGATAATTGTATTAATTATATAACTGTAGTTAATAACGTCCTGTAGTTGGTTACAATGAAAAATTTGAGCACTCTGATCTTCTAATTGCAGCAACTTTGTCCCTTTCTTTGTCACATGTATACATTATCTTAAATGACACAGTAGTCGATCATATTTTGATTATTTTTCAAAATTAGGTTCAGTTCAGCAAATACAAATACCTTCTACTTTCTGCATGCCTGGGACAGCCTTGGATTTTACTTGTTGCAGACATGCAGAAATGCTCTTTCAGTGTGTTGGACTCCTTGGGCACTCCAAGAGCTCAACAGTTAGAGAAGAACTGGTTGTAAGTAATCCCTCTGCAAGCCCTTTAGGACTTATGCTAAGAAGCGACTTCTGCTAGATGCAAGGAAAAGTGAGGAAAGCATATGTGACATTCCGTTTTGCAAAAATGATGATTACCACAAATGGATACAATGCAATGTCTGTGCTTCATGTGTCACACAGTGTGTGCTAACATAAAGGCCACTAAAAAAAATTACAAAAACTTGTTTTCATGTACCCTATGTGCATTGGGAAAAATGAGTTATTATAATAAGAATTACACTTAATAATATTAATTTAAAAAATTGAACATACCTGACAACCATTTATTTTGGTAACAATTATTTTTGTTGGTAATTGTCAATTTTGAAATGTAAGCCACCTAGAATTGCAGCAACAACATACAGAACTTGTATATATGCCAGTGTAAATAGTGAGATCTGCCACTTTTTTTTTTTTTTTTTTTAAGAATCCAAGTCTTAGGAGTTTTAATATCATGGTAAAAACAGTAACATATTCAATGGAAGTCCATATTGAGACTAAGGTATAAAATACAGGTGGAGTTGGGAACCCAGCCCAATTAGTTTCTTATGAATTTGATTCTAAAATTCTGTTAAAACCATAGTGTGTGTGTGTGTGTGTATTATGATTATTACTTGTTGTATTTGTTCCATATTCTCACATCACCAAATAAATAAATTTTGTATTTTGTATCATATACTGCGTTCTTTTTTAATTTTGCTAATCTTAAACATTAGCACAGTTTAAAATTTCTAGAAAACCACATGGGAATGCCCCGAGTGTCAGGACACTGTAAAGCTAGTTTGCTTACTATACCTTTTCATGTGTTAGCTTTACGGTGTATTGCTGATGTGTGCTATATATGAAGTCAAGATCGAGTTGGCAATACCTAAATCTAGAACCTAGGTACATGGAAATAGTGCCATCATAAACTTGATAAAATATAAAAAAAAGAAGAAAAGTTACGATAACATTTAAGGATGTTTTAAGAACACTTCTTGAAACAAGTCTAAAACATTTTCTGAAATGTAAATCCTAAACATTGTTTTAAAAAGGTTGAAAACTGTACAAAATTGTGTGCAAAATTAAGATAACATTTATGAAAACATTTGAATGATGTCTGAAAAGAATTTTTGTTTTTGCTGATTTTGGCCACATTTTGTCATGTTATAACATGTGTCAAAAAGATGTTTGGTCTATCTTTGGTTTGGCCTTTGCCCTTGCTTTGACATCTGCTTTTGTTTAGAATTTGTTTTTGAAAATATATATAAACATATATCATTCATGTTTTGATATAGCAATGAGAAATATTACCTTAAATTGAGTTTGATTTTTTACAGTAAATTAACTATAGCTAACTGAGGGTTCTGGTTCGTAAATACATTTCATAGAAAAAAATTCCAAGAAATTGTACAGAGCAATTTCAATAATTTTTATTTTTAATCCTTTCACTCAGAGCCTTCTTAGAGGTTAGTTCTTTGAATGGAAATTAATAACTAAAGCATTGAGTAACTAGTACTCCTTTAAGTGAAAAGGAAATTACTGAGACAGCATGAAAGGGTTTGATCCTACTTTCTTGCATATTCCAATCATACTTACATCTACATATTATAAATAATTATTATGGTGAAAATTAAATTGCCATTATATTTGGGATTTGAACTTTAACATGGAATGGTGTTTCCCCACATAAATATTTCACTTTCTGGTTGTAATTAGCTTGCTGTAGGTGTATGAAAAGTAGCTCCTTGATGGATTTTCACTTTTGAGTAATGTACCACAATTCACAATTATTTTTAAGTGGTCCATAGCTATCTTGGACTTCTTGCACAGCAGGCATCATGAGCAGACATATGGATCAAGTGATGCTTTGAAAGTAATTGGAACAGTTAATACAACACTTCAGTATAGAAGTAAAGCAACACAAGCATCCCTTCATATAGTCAAAGAAAGAAAGGGAAATCCTCTAAGCTACAAAACTGCAAATGAACTAGACTTAATGCACATGACATATTCAGTGCATACATCAGTAGAGACAGAGCAAGCAGAGTTTGCAGATCTGTCTGTAGGGGTTGACAAAATGAAAGACAAGAAGATACAGCTGCACAATGATGATAGGGTTAACCCCAAGCAAGAACCACTACAAATGACAAAGCTACCCAGTGTACCATGGACAGAAGTTTCAGTTGACTTTGTCGGACCATTCCCAAATGGACAAAGTTTACTTGTTATTGACGACTATACAGTCATTTCCCAGAGGTAGAAATAGTGCATTCAACTTCAGCAAAATCTACTATTCCTGAGCTAGATGTCATATTTTCAGGACAAGGCATTCCAGACACTGTCAAAACAGACAATGGCCCTCCTTTCAATGGCCAAGATTTTCAGAACTTTGCCAAGTTTCTAGGTTTCAGACACAGGAAAATTACTCCAGTGTGGCCGCAAGTAAATGGCGTAGCTGAAAGATTCATGTGAACATCAGGAAAAGCAATCCGTACAGCGCACACAGAGGGATTGAATTGGAAACAGGAATTATTCAGATTTTTGAGACAATACAGAGCTACACCGCACAACACGTACCACAGGTGTATCTCCAAGTGAAGCTCTTAATAACAGGAAAATGAAAACTATACTACCAGAGATAAGCAGAGACATTCCACAACACAATGACAACAGGATCAGAAACACGGACAAGTACAAGAAAGAAAAATCAAGGAGTATGCAGACAAGAATTCCCAACAGTCAGATCTGAAGATAGGGGATAAAGTACTTGCATCTAATGAAAGCTCTCAGGAAAGTGAGTGGCTGCCATACAGCCAAGAAGCTAAGGACAAAAGATTATCTCTGGACAATTTTCTGGAGATGTGTGGTGTGAGTCCTATAAAGAAAACACTTCAAGTTTCATGGGAGCTGTCCTCTGACAGGACAAAGGCTGACTATTTCATAAAATCTAGGAAAAGCATCAATGAGGTCCTGGCCAAGGAAATATGCTGTTCCATGATGTACTTACTGCAAGAGAGGACGATATGGCTAGAAACACCAGCACACTAGAAGTCATTGCCCTTGGTTACAGACTAGCCACAGAATGGGGAACTCAGCGACAGATATTATCTCTTATTTCCCATCAATATTCCTTGGAAGAAATTAGAAAATATATACGCGATCTGTCTAAGTACAAATACACAATGGCAAAGAATTCATGCACATATTGTTGGGCATGGACAACCACTGATGAAAGAAGGGAGTCACAGAGAACACCTGTCAGATATTCAAATAGGCCACTCTCTAGACTTCTTTATGTCTCCAGCAGTTGTCTGATGTCCCTTTTGTCCAAGTCCATTTGAAACTCTCTTCTGGTCAGAAAATCGATGCACCATAAATAATCTTGAATACTGTCATTTAGAGACTCTGGATTATTAGAGACTCTGGATTACGCGGGCTACCTCATTAAAAAAGCGCACATGGGCCAACGCTTCCAATGGAGGTCAGTGCTGAAATATGATCAGGAATACCACAACACAAAAGCTGCAGGTGACTTCCAGTGGGGAGCAGACAACGCCTATATGATGCAGGTTTTCCTCCGTGACGACGGCACGGCAAGCAGAAATTCCAACAAAGATCACAGGAAGGAGGCTCGCGTAGTAACAGATAAGACCCGTCTTCATGACGCATCATCTACGACTGTTTCAACGGTAGAAGTGGATGTTCTCTTCGCAATTGCAGGTACTCCCATGTGTGCAAAACAAGCTACGATCGCAACTGGTGAAACTATGCAGGATACAAAAAACAAGTAATCAAGAGTGGTGGTTCTACACGCCATCTCCTTCCACTCCTAAGCAGTTTGGATTCATGGCGTGATGAGTTGGCCAACGATGAAGACAGAGACTTTATCTTAAACGGTATACTAAACGGGTTCTCACTTATTGACAGTAATATTGAAATTGCAGACACTGTCTAAGTAGAAGTAGAGAATAGTAGTAGAGTCTGCAGACTGGACATCTGTCCTCGTGTGGAAAAAGAGATTATTTTCAGACTTAATGAAGGGCACTACGTTACTCTGTCTGAGAAACCTCTGATTACGAGCGCTATTTCATGTGTACCTAAGCCAGATGGGGATATTAGCGTGATCCATGACCTCCGCCTCTCACGTGCCTCCCTATGTGTCATCCCAATGGAGCCGAGATTTTATGACTGTACCCCCGCAGGGACGATGCCTGGGGAGGCTTGTGAGAGACGTAGAGACTATTAAAAGATTAGGTGGTTTTCCTTTCATGTACATCTGCCATATTTATGGCGTGGCTTTGTAGAGCCATGGGTCAACTCAATGTGAATGCAGCCTTGGAGTTAACTCCCATGCAAAGTTCTAAGGAATCTATGAAATTTGATACGCTACATATCATTAATCATGTCAGCCCCTTTATCATTTCACGGGCAGACTTCGCAGACCCCCAAGGTGGAAAATCTATACGTGACAGGCAACCTGCACATAACAAGTCAACTGTTAGAAAGTATATGTGAATGAAGGAAATGATGTGTGGACAGCGTCACAATTTCTAGAAGCAGTTAAGAAAAGCAACTCTTCAAACATCTCTCTCATTAGTGCAACACCACCACCCTCCATCAAACCATCAAACATCAGCATTTTGAAACAGTGTCATTTGAAAAATATATCTAATTACTATTACTTTCAGTTTTCCTCCAATGGCATCAAAATATGGAAGCAGCACAATATTGGTGAGGGGCAATATATTCATGTTGATAAATGCATACATGTAAATTCTTGTTTTTCTAGATAACGTAGAGCAAATCAAGTATATGACAGAAAAGCACAGTCGGCTACGGTATCCTATGCTACACAGAGTCCTAACAAAGAGCAGAACCAACAAGAAGAAAGCCAAGAAGAATGCACAGGCAGTTTGTTTACATGCCCAGAGTCTAACTGCATTACTACCTTCATGAAACATAAAAATCTATTACGCCAACTGGATACAGGAATAATACTAAAGCAAAAGACTTTGCAAAGATAAGCCATATCTACTTTCTTGCACAGCTGTATCATTGTACTACACTAAATGGTTGATTTATATCATATTTAACACACATTTGCCCCATAATTGAATTTTATTAAATTTGAAATTTTGAGAAAATTTGGCAGAGTATAAAATGTTTGTTTATCAATTACTATGTAATTTATTTTTTTAAATACGACTTCATGCTTTGCTCATTATGAACAAAACAATGGAGGAGTATATCACAGCTGCCATTTTGAAATAAATACATTTAAAAAATAAGAAAAAGTAAAAATACAGAACAAATATATTTGTATATTTGGATAGAGCAATATGTCTTTTTTTGACATTGCTATATAAAAGTCAGTATTATATACATATTCATTTTTTATTTATTATCATGGTTATTAGGCCTATTTGAGCTGGTATTTTTACCTACCAAAGACTGGTTTCTAGGGAAAAGCAATTTGTTGCTATGGAAACCAGAGGAACTGGTTGAAACATGGCTAGTGGTAATTTTTGTGCATTTTATGACTAAATACATCATTTAAGATCAAACTAAGCAAAATATAAATTTTTCACATTCCATCCGAAGCTCAATGCTTAATAGCTAACATGGCCTCTTTAAAATCATTTCATGAAGCCACAATTGACCAAGGGTGGGAGTTTCATTATAGGATGGTCGAATCTTAGGAAAACTGCTGTTATTCACCACGAGTCTTCCAATGCTCAAATGAGAACTAGTGAGCTGGTCCGCCAAGATCAGAATGTACAGGCAGGCACTGTGAGTACCACTGAAGCCGGTAAGGCTCTGATCGGGTTGAAGCAGAACGAGAGATGTCGTTTGCGTCTTCTGTTTAGAAATGCCTATGCAGCTGCTGCCAAGAACAGGCCAATTACAGACTTCATACAGTTGTGTGAAGTTAACAATGCGAAAGGAATCAAAACTGACTCCACATACATAAATAAACAGGCCGCTGCACATAACATATCCTCTGTGGAGCAGCAGGACATCAAACAAGAACTGAAGGATTGTTCATTTTTCAGTTTTTCCATGGACGGATCTACAGATATATCCACCACTGAGCAGGAGACAATATACTGTATACACTTTATAAACCGATAAATATTTTGGTAGAATTACTGAAATTCATGTCTGAATTTTTCTATCAAGTTGATATTTTTTCCATCTCAGCAATTTTCTTAGTTGATCATATAAAATTGACAGTAAATTGATTATTTTGTTTTTAAGTGTTGAGAATGGAAATGTACTCATATGAGTATAGTTCTACCAAATCAACAACACTGAGGAATCCCATGAGATGTGACATAGCCATCACGTGATTAGTGATAGCCATTTTGTCTTCAGACATACATGTGGAAATTTTCAGGTGCGTAAAAGTTTAATTTTTCGGTTTGTGTACCATAAAGCTGTATTTTACGCTGTCTGCTCACAGAGGCTTGTGATCCTCAATACTGTATTTGTTGCCCTTTTCTTGCACTTGTTAACGTTGTTTGACAGTGTTTTTACAAAATCACTCGTGTGTTTTGTTTTACTGTACGACACCAAGACTATTGATTATGGCAACATTACCGACTACGGTGTTGCAGATGGGCATGGATAGTCCACACAGTGCTGTGAGTGACCGTGACACTTTTTCTCAGCTTTTGTCTGAAATGCCACAAGAGGAGCTATTGGATGGAGATCGTGTTGATGACCACCTCGTTTTTTCCAATATGGTGGCATTGCTCCTTCAGATAATAAAATCAGTTAAGAGAAAGAAGAAACACCTAGCTGGTGGACCTGTGAAAAGTAGTAAGGTTGATGATCTGGACAACCTCATTGATGAAGTTAGTGCACCCACTTGTGAAGGGACTTCAGACCCTGATATAGATGGTGATGTGCAAGGCATTCTCGATTCATTAAAGGATTTTCGTGACAATTCAGACAAAGTGGGTCCAAACACTGATGACACACTGGCCTCTCATCTTATAAAATCATTCCATTGTAAAGCAGATGAAGAAAAAGTAAAAAAAAAAAAAAAAACTTGTTAACCTTCACCACAAACCAGGTAACTGTAAACAATGTTTTGTTCCATCAACAAATTGTACCATTTGGAACATTATGCACAAAGGTGCCAGGGAATTAGATTATAATCTCCAGAAAATACAGCATGTACAGCTGAAAGCACTGTACCCACTAATGAGGGCTTTTAATGCCTTATTCTCTGAATCCAAAAACAAACAGGGTTTGAGCCATGAGTTGACTGTGGACTGTTTGAAATTAGTGAAGGATAGTTATCTGCTTATGCAAGTTGGTTTCACAGACCTTTACCGCAAAGAAACCTAATAAAAAAAAAAACTGAAGCCTGTATATTAGAAGATATGTAAGGACTCTAATCCCATCACAGAAAATGTATTTGGAGATGATGTGGAGGCAAAAATGAAGGACATTGACACGTCCCAAATATCACAGGGAAAGTCAGTCCCTAAATGTTCAGGCAAGTCTTACTTTACCCCTGAATGGCAAGGCCATGGATATGGTCAACCGAAAGATTATGTTAAATCTCGGACACAGCAGAGTGGTAAATCGATGTACGATGCTGATGCATGTTAATCAAATTCAATTTTTGACTAAGGAACACTTCATATTGAATGAAATAACTCGTACCAAATTTAACTAGCAGTTTGCTATCAACACTTAGAACATGATCAGCTGCTTGTGCCAAAAGGAAAGTTCGCTACTGTCCTTTTGGCATGGTTTAGTGGCACGCGTTAGCATGGGTTCTAGCTATAATCCTATTGCCGCAACAAACAATGGGGACCTTCTGGCTGATGTATCCTGCTGTTAATTACACCTAGTTACAGCGGATTTTCATGCTCGCGCTGGACCACAGAAACTGGCGTCGTGGGGTTCACTCGTCTAGAGTATTGTGTTATTCCACCTACTAGTAAGCTATTGTGTTTGTGCGTTGAATTTTGAAGGGATTTATACGGCTCTCCATTGTTTGCCCGCCCCCTTCTATTCACAGGATAGGGATTAAAACATTTCAAACATTGTTAAACTGGTTTACAATGGAAACATATTTATTACTACCACTGTAAGCATTTTAGTGTGACTTAGAACTCCCACTGGCATAAAGCCAAATGTTAATCAAATTTTCTCAATGTCCACGTTATGTATAGTAGATAAATGAAAATTGCTTGTAATCATACTGTTAATCATTTTGTAAATACTGGTTAAAAATTGAAAGAAATAAAACCTACTTTGGTCTCTGTCACCACAAACATGTCACCACAATCATGCTGATTTTCGAACTTGACCTGCGTATTATGAATATTCATCAGTTCTGTAAGTTTCAAGCCAAAAGGTAAAACCATTTTACACTTATCGTGTTTTCGGTGTTGCATAGATGCTGAAAAAGTGAAAAAATAGCAAAACTACGGAAACAATGGCCCGATCATACTTATTTTTGAACTTGACCTGCATATAATGAATGTTCATCAGTTCTGTAAGTTTCAAGCCGAAAGGTACAACCATATTCCACTTATCGTGTTATTGGTGTTGCACATATGCTGAAAAAAGTGAAAAAAAAAGCATATCTTTTATGGTAATGGCCCGATCATGGCGATTTTCAAACTTGACCTGCACATTATGACTATACATCAGTTCTGCAAGTTTCAAGCCAAAAGGTAAAATGGTTTTCCAATTATCTTGTTATCAGTAAAAGTACACGGTGATGGCAACAACAGACACAGGTGATGGCTATATGTACAGACATATCTGTGTCTGTACATAAAAAAGCTGACATTGTGTACAAATTTTATACAACAGTGTAGACATACCAGTATTAGGATATTTCAACAACACCTAAAAACCAAATTACTTCTTTGCTGGATAAATATGGACCATATCAAAATCAAACTGTCCAATTTATATTACTTTCCTGTGATGTGACTTGATATGGGACAAAAGGCTAACATTATGGGTAAATGCCTGGTAGCAGTATTGACATTTATATGGTTTTTCACCAGTGTGAGTTCTTTCATGGCTGATACAATTCCCTTTCTGAGAAAACACCTTCTCACAGTATTGGCACTGAAAAGGTTTCTCACCTGTGTGAATCATTTCATGTCTATCAACATCTTTTTTGGCAAGAAACATTTTACTACAAAACTGACACTGAAAGGATCTTTCCCTTAAGTGAAGCTTTTCATGTCTTCTAAGAGAATGGATGTCTACATAAGCTTTTTCACAGTATTGGCACTTACATGTTTTTTCACCTACATGTAATTTTTCATGACTGGTCAGGTTGGTCTTACAGATGAAGGACTTCTCACAATACTGACACTGGTAAGGCTTCACTGCAGCATGGATCTTCTCATGTGTTTTCAAATTTCTCTTCCTTCTGAAGACCTTCCCACAAGACTGGCATGGAAATATGGCACAGTCCGGATTTTCTTCAAATTTGTGGATCAGCTCATGGTCCCTACGGTGGCACCTGTTGTAGAACCTTTTCCCACAATACTGGCAGGCATAGGGTCTCTCCCCAGTGTGGTATCGCACATGGACAATCAGAGCTGAATTACAGCCAAAAGCCATAGGGCAGATTGAACATTTATAAGGCTTGGGACCATGCTGGCTAATTTCATGATTGTAGCAATCCTTCTTTCGTTGGAATTTCTCCTCACAGAAATGGCACTGGTATGGCTTAACACCTGGAAGCGACCTCTGGTGACGCTGATAGCTCTCCTGTGATTTAAACTTTTTATCACAGTGATCACACGGAATAAAGGTCATTTCACCTGCAGCATGTCTTCTTTCATGCTTCAAAAAACAGGTCTTGTCCTTATATCTCTTGCCACACTGATGACACTTATAAATAGTCTTCTTTTTCCCCATTCGGCTGTAATTTGATTTCCAGTTCAATTGGGAAAGTGGAGAGGGTATATTCATAGTGTCTTTTTTTCTCCCTATCTGCTTTATAAACAAGCTGGGAACAGGAAGAGAGTTTGTCTGCTGAATCATTTTCTTGATGATATTCTGCTGTTCTACATCAATGTGTTCATGCTGAATATTGTCATAGCTGATGGGAGACTGGGTCACAGGATGGAGACAGTCACCAGAAGTCAGACCAGCTTGACACAATGACTCAGCACTCTCCCCAGGATCATATACATCCATGTTATCTATCTTCAACTGGGTTCCTGGGCCATCTTGTGACACATACTGGTTCTCCACATTGGCAGTGAATGCACATCCATCTTCCATTTCTTCCTTTACCAGCCCTTGATCAGTGATATTGTTTTTCAGTTGTTGGCTCTGGTGTGCTGACTGTTCTTCTTGTTGTTCCAGCAGCTTGGTCCTGCTATGACAAAGAATTCAATAGAGTTTCAGATTAAAAAATATGTAATGCTCATGTGTGTGTGTGTGTGTGTGTGTGTGTGTGTGTGTGTGTGTGTGTAATTTTATTTTATATACAATTTTCAAATTAGACTTACATTCTTGGTATAAAACATTCAACATCAATTATTTTTTGTCATTAGATACATGTACTTGCACTGTACCGGTAGTATTCACCAAAGCCAAACTAATAAAACATAATACAGTTATATTCTTATTGCATTACATTCTGGCCTGGGTTTATTTTTAGCATACCAACTGATCAAGACGATGAGGCTGTGAAATCATATACCAGTACTGGCACAAATACTCTCGATTGGCAATGGATGAACAGACTTCTTAGTGTGAGAAATACATCAAAAATTGTTTCTTTTTTTAACTTAAAATACGTTTTTTTTTTTTTTTTTGGTCAAAAATACATATATTAACCGATTCCCAGCTCAACCATTTTATGGTTGTAGACGTTTATGGTCGTTTGTGCATGATCGTAACATGGCAGTACGGCGATGTACATGCACACTTAACCTTATTCTTTAGCTTTATATGACCCACGTTTATGTTTTACTCATAAGTTTACCAAATGTACTGACTTTTCAATATCTAGCCGATCCAGAAGAAATTTGGCAAAATCCGAATTGCGTGGAATCTCCCAAAGCTCCATGGCCTTCTTCCACCTGTCTATCTGGCTGCCAATGTAGATAAAAGCTTTTCTGTATCTATTTGCTTTACTGGTGTTGATTTTTCTAATTTCAGCGAAATAATAACTTTTTCTTGGTAGGTCTGTTTTACTCCTGGTCATTTTCCTGTGCCCTACGGCTACAAGACTGCTGCGCTCGACTGCAGCTTTCGACATCTTTCAGTTTTATCTGCACAACTGTAGAGGGAATGTTAAATCAAGACAAACCAAACTACAAGTTTACTATTTACTGACAACTGAAAGGTTTTGGGTGCATTATTGAGGGAATAATTAATTACATGTAGTTAACTAATTTTTTAATGATTTTTACCTTTAAGACTTGGTTCTGTATGAACACTATTAAATTGATTAAAATTTTGTAATTCGAAATGAACACCATTTTCCTTTTGCGTGTTTTTAATTTATATGCGCTCTTGAAATGTAGCCTACCACTAACACGACATGTACATGTACCCCTGTAGGTCACCAGTGGTGGATTTAGAGGGGGTGGGAGGGGTCAGGACCTCCCTTCGGTTTCTGAAAATTAAATCACACCAAAATTCCCCTCTTGAAATTAGAATTTTGACTAGATAAAATTAATCATATAGGCCTATAGTTCTAAACCGTACCGAGCAGCACTGTTTGCTCTCCAAAACACCATTTTTTGTCACCATTTTTTTGAGCAGGTCCCAAACCCCACCTCAAAGGTGCGATGGTCCGCTTCGCATCCGAGGTCTGTCGTTCCGGACCCCCCCCCCCCTTCTTATAATCCTGGATCCGCCCCTGTCCTTGCCCCTTCACCTAACCCCAGCAGCTGAAGTCGCAAAAACAACGGCACTGTGAAGGCTTTTTGAACTATTTTGTCCACGCTTTACTGCAGTAAAATAAACTAACAAACTTAGTTACAATAGCGAAGTAGCGGCTTGTTTATACTTTTGTTTACGGTTATATTTTTGTTTCCCATCCACTTATTATCACAGATCCTTGCTAACATTTAGCCCCGCAAAAATTAAATCACCTACCTCAATCACAACACGAATGTCACCTTTAATGAAGATGAATTAGTATCGTTTTATTCATTTATTTATTTATTTTATTCATTTATTATTTTGCAGAAAGTAGACTTTGACATTAAAAGAATCTGTCAATATTCCACACATAATGCAAATACATTTATTCTTCCTTCTGGGGCACACAGTAGTACTAATTTTGAAATGACCCATGCGCTACCTCCAGAATAAAATCAAATATCATAAATCCTTACTTGAATCTGTTTTTAAATTGGTTTCTTTTGCTAAATTCTTCTTTTACAAAATAGTTTGTAATCTAGAGTGTCATATTAGACACGCTGAAGTATTCGGAAAGAGAACTAGTTTTGAAAACATGTTTGATATATTCTCTAGAAATATTTTGCAAGTTTATTACTATCTTCAGATTTTAGCGCTCTCTTTCGGCGTACTCACTGTTTCATAGCGAGAGAAATCACACTGCGCGATGATTGACGTTCGTTTATATAACCTGCCAATCAAGCTGTTATTACTTGACAGCAGCTATCAAAACAAACTGAATTTAACTGGCACCTTGTCAATCAAAGGACGTAGGAAGCTTGAAATAAACGCGTTAGACGACTATAGATCCACTGTGTAATGATTGTGATTGACGTTTGTTTATATAACCTGCCAATCAAGCTGTTATTACTTGACAGCAACTATCAGAACTAATGAATTTGATTGGCATCTTGTCAATCAAAGGATATAGGAGTTTTACATTGCATGTTCGGAGAGAAAAGTGAAGTGATTGTGTTTGACGTTTGTTTAAAAAACTGTCATTCATAGTCGCGTGCACTTGACAGCTTCCATCAAAGTTGAATTTGATTCATTCCTGTCTATAACAATACATGTCGTAACATTCTGGAGGTAGGGTTTTTTTTTTTTTTTTTTTTTTTGCAGCGTGAATAAACGTCGGGTTCTTTATTTGAACCGAGAGACTGAAATTTAACAACGTGAAAGAGTGCCGTGTTCTTTCACATGCGTTTTTAATTGTAGTAAAAAAATCAGTTGTCATTCTTATTCTGGATATGATGTAAAATGATTATACATGAATTAACGTTGTTGTCGATGTTTGTTGCTCCATAATTCTTTCTTTGGTGCTCGTACGAAATCGGAACTTCGTATACTGAACATATTAGTTAAATCACACTCATGTTCTTTTACGCCCAAGGAATATTTTTGGATCATTTTTAAAAAACGAATAGTATAAAAAGTAAAACCTTGTCATTTTTTTCATGAGCTTCGGAAAGGAAAAATGCCGAGATAATGATGTTAGTGGCCAGGTAAAATTAAAATCTACCGGATTTATTCGTTCCTTATAAAGGGCCGGGGCATGAAAACTGTTGATTTAAATAAACTTCACAATTAAAACTGCCAAATTAAAACTGAAAACAATTTTATGCAATACTTTAATCTGCAATAAATTGTTAGTATTTCATAAGCATAAAAAACTCCATATTTCAATAACGTGAGAAAATTGATAGTGGAATAAGTCGGGCTGGTTTAATCAAAAACTTGAAATTCTTGGTTTAATTTATTGAAGTTGTTCGTTCAATATCTTATACTGTATTTCCTCATATTGGCAAAAAATTAATTTTTCATTATATGTAAAATGGATGCTACGTCGTATAAGAATTAATATTTGATCGAATATTTACTTGAAAACATACTTTTTTATCTAATTTATTTCATTCTATTTTTAAGTAAAAATAAAATTAATTCAGTATTAACAACATCATCTTTGCTTTGCCTCATCTAGCACATTATATGATTTTTTTGTCCGAAGACGCATATTAATGCTTTTTGCAGTTAATATTCTACATGTACGTGCAGTATATTAACGTTTCATACCGCAAGGGGCACTATTTTAATCTCTATATACGTAAGAATGAATCAGAATTTACTCGATGGGGAATCGGAAATTGATACAAGGTTGATATAAAAAGTCGTTCTATTTCTATTTCTTTTAATGGTAGACAGTAACGCGCCTTCTCATGAACGGGGCAATTTTTGTAGAGGGCAATACTCCATACGCTGTCTACTATAGAGACTAGCCCCGCCTAGATTTGTTAATTTTATTCATACAAGGCAGTCAATCTTCCAATTTGAAGACCTATATTTGGTTTACATAACAAAAACACAACATCAATGGCTTAATTCAAAATATATTGGGGGAACGCACCCTCCTCACACACCTACAGCTGCCCAATGCAGTCGGAGCGCGGGCTAAAAAGAATGGTGTTTTAAAAGCCATCTGCCCACCACTTTTTTCACGTCAACACAGGAAGGGACGGGCTGGTTCTTCTATTTCTTCCTCTTCTTCTTCATCTTTGTGGCAGCGCAAACTGTTCGAAAGTTAATACTTTTTGAGACCTTTCCTGCCGTGCGTAAGCACAACCAGTACAACGCATGAATTTTGTGCTACCGTCACGATGAGACCGAGACCCCAGCACAGGCAAAACCCTGCAGCCCAAGCAGTGGCGGATTAAGGAGTGTTGTCAGGGGGGTCCTGCCCCCATTTCGGTTTCTGAAAAATAAATCACACCAATACTCCTCTTCTGATATTAGAATTTTGACTAGCCCCCTCCTCACACACCTACGGCATAGTTCTAGACCATAGCAAATAACACCGTTCGCCCTCTAAAATCCCAAAATTTTTCAGTGCCCTTCTGTGGGCCCCGAACCCCACGTCAAGGGGGTGGAAGAGGGGGCGAGGGTCGGCTTCGCATCCGAGACCTGTCATACCTAAAAAACCGGACCCCCCTTCAAATAATCGTGGATCCGCCCCTGGGTCACCCAGCGTGATCTGAAATTTCTAAATGGATAATTGTTTTATACATGAGCTTGTTACGTTCTAGTCATCTAAGGGTGCTTTCCCAGAGATTTAGATCGACCTAACTCCCTGGGGGTTCACGCTAAATTGCAGTCAGCCGAGCGGGCACCATAGTTAATTACCCCCTTACAGCTTTTAGTAGGCGGGACAGACGCTTAAGCCGGCCAAGCTGACAGTAATCTAGTGAGACTACCCACAGGGATAGATCGATCTAAAAATCTATGGAAATGGGGTGTAAGCATCATATCAACAACGAAATCAGATTTATTTTGCATAAAAAGAAGGAAAAATACTGCGGTCAACAAACCAATCTAACAAATCTTCATAATTAAATGGCCCCCAACCCACCCCAACAAACTCGCATATAATATTCATATACTGGGAGTACGCACGTTTCTTCCTTTTTAAAGAATAACTCCCATTTATAATGACGACATTGAAAGGTGATGTCATCTACTGTCTTTTTCTGCTCATTTTGATCTCTTCACAAGAGAAGCAGGTACATGTACAGGTATTCCTTTATATCATCATACATGTATTTATACCCGGTACATGTATTACTTTTATAATAACAACCGAGTGTTGATTTAAATGATGATGTAAGAAGTACGTTAGCTGCTGCACACGTCAAGTTCAATATTCGACTCGCCGATCGAGAAGAATCGAACTACAAGAGTGGTGGGTTTCCAGCCAGCTTTATTCCATGTACTGCCCAAGTTCCCCAGTCATCGCCAAGACCAGTCTTTATCCACCGCCAGTCCTGGCTATATATGGCCAAAGCTTAACATTACCGTGTAAAAGAGGATATCACATACTTTCCATATTATTATTATTTTTATTATTATTATTGGCAGCCGATACTCCCAGTAAACGCCTTAACCTCGGTATTTGCGTACCCGTTGTTACAGAAACTTACGATGCAGGGAAATGTCATTTCGTACAACACCCTTTGCAAATGAAACCTAGGAATGCGAGGAAATATGTAAGATTGTGCCCTTTTTTAATTGTCAATCATACATGTATTCATACAGCAAAGAAACTGTACCCTAGGTTCTAGATTCCGGTATTGCCAGCTCGATCTTGATTTCATATATAACCCATATCAACAATACCGGCTCTAGTGACCAGCGGCCATGTTACACTTCCATCAATCAAATAGAACTGCTCCGCAGTGAATCTGCAGTTTACTAGTAAAAGCGACTCCATCACAAGGTATATATTTACAAGCTAGCTTTTACGTTTCTCTGACACCCAGGGTAAGAAACTGTTGCCTCTATTGATTGAAATGTGTCAATCAAAGTTATCAAATGTGACGGCTCGATTGACGGTTAAGTAATCAAACAATCAACGCACAAAAAATCAACTACAGAGTTAATATGAGAGCGCTATCTGTCTTACTGACACAGAATACATGTCTTAATCATGGACAAAAATTATAAAAGGAATGCCCTGTCGAAAAAAAAAATTGAAAAATTGAAAATTTATGATAGAACAGCTACGATAGAAAGTATCTCCAAGTTTAACCGAGAGCACTAAGTTTGCCAAAGAAGTGCAAAATTATTTATAAGCGCCTTGCCTCAATAAGCTAACCGAAAGTGACATGATTGCGACGCTTTCACAAAAATTCATAGAAATGTGCTAGTTGAGACAGAGCAATTGGAAGATGATTTAGTTAATGCTGGATTACAAGCTACAGCTAAGTTAATGAATATATCTTTATTTTAAAAAATAAATCTACACACTTTCTGCTGGACAGTGCACGTGGATGACCTGGAACTGTAGCAAACATTAAATGGGTCTAAAGTGAATTTGGTAGTGAATCACCATGTCACTTGACTGCTATGTAATGACAGGCAGGTCACCTTGAATTGGACATTGCATAACATCTGTTAAATAGCTGACAAACATTTCCAATCATACTGGAGGTCAGCTAACACCAAAACAAAACGTTATCATTTTAATCGATGGAATAAAACTGTAAACGGTTACGATATTTGTCCCATAGATGCAATATTGTTGTATTATAATTCACAATAAAATATTGTATCCAACAGCGATGCTTGAGTTGGCGAAAAGTTCAAATCGTTTAGCGGGTAAATCTTTTCCCGTACCGTAATGCAATTCGAATTCCGTTTTGTGGCCCATGTAACGACATGTAGAATAAATATTTCAGCCAGTTCAAGGCTCTGCTCAAATTTAATGTATTGATAACCTCTGAACACCATTTAAAACCAAAAATATTCATCAAAGAATCAAAACAGTCGTTCCCCGATAAGAATAAATTATTCATGATGATGACGTGCTTGAAACGATTTAAATAGTGCGGATCAATATCTATACTGTTACCTTTGCAAAAAACGAAGTACTAACTAGTGATAGCAACTGCTTCGGCTAATCTAGGAAAGATGCGTCCTTTTGCATGATGCATGATTAAAATGTCGACTTATACTTTTGCGATGAGCCCCCCGCCCCACCCACACCCCAGCCAACATAGGATACCATTTCAAACCACCGCCTTCAACTATACTTGTGTGACAGTGACAGAAAGTACACGTAGGTTAAAAGTTCACCGAAGGTGACTGGAAATAAAAAACCTAGACGAGTTTTACAATTATTTCAAGGAAGTAAACAGTAGTGTAGATGGAAATAACCCACCGAATTATAACCATAACCAGATAAATAATGAAAGGCTTAATGAACCAATTACTGAAACTGAAATCCAAAACACAATAAAAAAATTAAAGAAAAATAAAAGCGGGTGCTGACAAGATATTGAATGAGTATATTATCTCTTCTGCCAGCACTATGATGCCAATCTATAAAAAATTATTTAATTTGGTATTAGATACTGCTATTTTACCAGAAGCATGGTTAATAGGCACTATAATCCCAATCTATAAGCAAAAGGGAAACATAAATGACCCAAAGAACTATAGGCCAATTACTTTACTCAGTTGTCTGGGTAAAGTATTCACTTCTATATTATGTAAAAGACTAACTGATTACTCTGACAACTTTATGCTGTTACAGGAAAACCAAGCTGGCTTCCGAGCCAACTATTCTACCATTGATCACATATTTACATTAAATACACTTATAGACCTTTCAGTTGCATCAAAAAAGAAATTATATTGTGCTTTCATAGATCTAAAAGCAGCTTTTGATAAAATATGGAGGGCAGGGTTATGGGGGAAGCTAATGAACCACAATGAAAATGGAAAATGTCTGAACGTTATTGTAAACATGTATAATGGCTGTAAATCTAGAATATCTTTAAATGGTATATTATCGGAATATTTCCCATGCAAAACAGGAGTACGACAGGGCGAAAACCTATCACCCTTCTTATTCTCAGTATTTCTAAATGATCTTGAAGAATTTCTAATGCAAAAAGATGTCACAGGCTTATCACATGTAACAGATGAACTAGAACATGAACTACACATATTAATGCAAATAATGATCATACTATATGCAGATGATACGGTTCTCCTAGCAGATTCAAAAGAAAACCTACAATATCAACTTAATTGCTACTCCACCTATTGTCAGATATGGAAGTTAGAAGTAAATGTAGAAAAGACAAAAATCATGATAGTTTCTAAGGGCCGCACCCAAAAGAATATAAAATTTACTTTTAATAACCAAAATGTAGAAATAGTTAATTGTTTCAAGTACTTAGGAGTTTATTTCTCTAAAACGGGATCATTTTCAGAAACAAAAAGGTATTCAGCAAAGAAAGCAACTAAAGCTATGTATGGGATATTTAAGAAAGCAAGGCATCTAAATCTAAGCATTGTTGATCAGCTATATCTCTTTGATAAGATTATTGTTCCGATTTTATTATATGGATGTGAAGTATGGGGATTTGGTAATTTAGAAATCATAGAACAGGTGCACTTGAAATTTTGTAGATATCTATTAAATCTAAAAACCAGCACTCCCAAGATAATGATATATGGGGAATTAGGTAGAATGCCATTAAGTATTATTATAAAAGGAAGAATTGTATCATTCTGGACAAACTTGCTCACAGGTAAACAAAGTTGAAACGGGCAGATGGAAAAAAATACCTAGAAATTTGAGATTATGCAACTTGTGTAAAAATGAAATAGGGGATGAATTTCATTATGTCTTTAGATGTACCTTTTTTGCAGAAAGTCGAAACTTATATATTCCAAAAAAAAAGCATATATTAGACCGAATGTAATTAAAATGTATGAGATATTTTCAACGAAAAATAAGAAAAAACTGAATAATTTGTACAAATTCATTAGTATTGTGAATAAGGGGGTCAAGCCTTCAGGTTGATGTATATATATATATATATATATATATATATATATATGCTCTCTAAACTGTAAATGTACAGTTACTATAAGTTACTATAAGTAACTGGCTCGCGCTGCCAGTAATTACGCGGCGGGATATTCAGGGCACAGACCGTGATCATAAGATAGCGCGAATAGAAAATAGAATTTAGAAAATAGACATTGCATGTGAATGAAGCCTTAGATAAGAATAACTAACTTCCTTTCACTATATTTTATTGCATCATATTTGTTAAACCTTTGTATTTTTTCTTTTCCTCATTAATCTTTTAACATTAAAAAAAAACTACCAGACGACCTTTAATTGTCATCTAATGTGGAAGTTATGGATCTATTGATCGTCTGCTGCACATCGCTCACTCGCGTTCTCCCGACGCACTGAATTGTGTTGTTGGATGCAGCTTGAAACTAATATTTCTGTCTTTTGTATGACTGCTTCTATAGAAATAAACAGTTATGCGGAATCGGATATGAGGGATATTGCGGTGTCGTTTATCATTTTAATCGCTATCAAGGTGAAGGCCACCAAATGATATAATACAGTCCGAGTAGGGAAGGCTTTTTATTTTTCAATTGATTTTTTCGGTCGATACACGTTACAGTATTCATTCATATTACGTTAAAAACCGGCCTAATCTGTGTATTGTTTTCTGCCCTCAAGCTGGATAGTGTGTCCTAAAAACCGAACAGTTGACGCGGTCTGCAACATTATATGGAGAGGCAGATGGAATGTAAAAGTCAGATGAAATGTAAAAGAGTCTGCAAAGTTGTACAAGGTGAAATTGGAGATGATTATAGTTTTACGTCTAGCTAAAAGTGTGTATTATACGCTTTTGATATACCCAGGCACGCAAACATTTTTCTGGAACCTTTACCTCCCCTCCCACTTCAGTCTCCCAAATCGTTCCACACTAAAATAATTTCAATTAAAATCAATACTCGTATGGCAAATTAATACAGACAACCTATCTACTTTTTTACTGTTATTTTGGTTAGCTCAGGAGCAGTCTAAAGCTTTTTTATGGCTGCTCGAGTGATTTATTCAGTTTATCCCTTGGCATGTCGAATTTATTTGAGTAGTTTATATGTGTTACACTGTACTAGGAATCCACGCTCCACAGACACTCTTCATACGTACCTTTACGACAAGCCAAAAAAATGAAGTTAAGATATTAAATTAAAATGTGCATTTAAAATCACATTTATAAAGGGTTTTGAACAACAAAAGACTTTCAACTTTAAAGTTGTCACGAACTGAATGACAGTGGGCCTATGTTCCATTTTACTGGAGCCAAAATCATAAAGTTTTGACGACATAGTTTTTTCCCCCTGCCAATTGTTTGCATTTAAATACTGATTGATCAGAGAAACGTAACTCATGGCTGAACGTATTGTGGCAAAGAAACGGTATCCACATTCATAAATTTAAATATAAGAAAACAGTAGGAACATTCCACGGAAAAGCTGTGAAACACAGGATGGTCCATAAAAAGACTTACTCTTAATTGAGATAGAAAGTTAACTATTTTTATGGGCCACACTGTACACTTAACACGTAATAAGCTTGGAGGCTAAATGTCTTTTAACCGACCGTCGTTTTAAGGTGTAATTTTTCCGTGGGATTTACCTCGGCACTCTAAACCTAATTGTCTATCAGTAGCCAGAGTGCTTCAATCCTGTGTCTTCTTCTAAGACGAATATTAAGCCGGTCCTTTTGTAAAACAGGCACCAAAACCACGCTAAAAGTCAAAAGGGCGAATCTTCATCTCGGTGGTCTTCAGAGAATAGTAATGCCCTCTAAATTGTTTCCAGTTGACGCCATCAGCGTATGAAGCATGGCTGCCCAGGTGGTAAAGGCCGTTCAAATTGGAGTAATGGCAATTATCAAACCACCAAGCTCCCATGAATATCTGCGCACAGCCGCCACCTGCCCTATTGTCATTATCTCTATCTTTTGTCGAGAAAAGTTTCCCGTTGTGAAGGGCAAGGTCATCCCCTGAAAATGATTTGTCAAGCAGTTATGGTACTGATTTCAATATATAACTGTACTGTAAAAGTGCTTTGCAGTACGGATCCCTTTAAACCCATTGACTTAAAGACATTTAAAATGAAATTACATGCCGCGAATATGGGATTTCAAAAACTTTCGCGGTTATTTTGGAGAGATTTAGGCGCGTTACACAAATGCTTGCAACCTATTTTTAAAAGGGTCGTATTTATCTGTAACCTTATATCTGCACTATGAGTGGTCTCCTGTTGGTATATTGGCTTTGTGACAGTAATTCCTACTTGAAAAGCATTTTCGAACAAACCCTAACTGATTGCACCATGGCCATCTGATCTACATCTAGATTACATGTTGCATATTTAGATATCTTTTCTTGCCTGCGTCTCCAGAATACGTCCCCACTGTTAGCTGGTAGTTCGACGTTTCCGATGAGATACTGAAGTCACTGTAGTGGGCGTAGGCCCAAATACCTGCAGTGTCTTCCATGTCGACGCGTAGCTCATAGTTATCTTGGGAAGTGAGAAGATGTATCTTGTCATTGCCTGGAATAAATCATATTTATCAAAGAGCTTTTAAACGGGCTTTGGATGAGGAGACAATATACAGGGGTAGATTACGACAAGACATTCTGATCGACTGTTAGAACAGTGCTGAGACATCGTCTTACACCAATCGTATTGAGTATTTTAAAAATCCTACCTTTTTTGATTTTTAATGCTGACCTAGAAATATTGTTTGTGGAAATTTGTTTTCTTAGGTGTTTTCAGGTTCCAGAATGTACACAGTACCTAGCCAGTGTTCCCCGCTAAGATTTCCAAAGCCGTGTTTGTAGTCATTCCAGTCTCTGTAGAAATCGACAGAGCCATCCATACGCTTCTGGAATAACTGAAAATTAGGAGGAATAAATTGTATTTGCAATAAGATAACCTTTCTAACATTTCATGAAATTTTAAAAGAACAATCAAAATCCAAACGGATTCGCTTACTGTGCACAACTGAAGATTAAGAAAAAATAAGTATAATTATTGTGAAATAAATGCATTTATATAAAGTAAGTGAGTACATAAAAAATCAATCTTTACCGTCCATCCCCCTCCATCAGTAGTCATGTCACAGTAGACGCCGAAGGGATCTGCGCTGTTCCCTGGGTGAATCTGGTAAACTCCACTTCTTACCTCGCCCCTCTTATAGAGCTCTGCGCAGTCCCTTCCACCTAATTATAAGATTATAATATAACATCATTATATAATATATCATCAGCGTGGACAGTCCATATTGTATAAGATTTCCCGGTTTACATATTCGTATTTTCGCTTTAAATTATTGAAAAACATGCACCACTGAGTCCATAGAGTTCCAGCCAAAATAACTAAAACACCTTTAGTAGGCCTACTCAGTAAACTTGTTAATATTGTATAGTATGTAATCCGTTACTCACATAGTGATATGCCGAGAACTTACCATTAGTGAAATTAGATGTTACAGAAGTGCTATTGATTCCTATGGGTCTTGTATTGGTTGACGTCAACCTTAATGTGTAAGTAATGCCCATAGTCAAATTTGCTAAAACTGACGTCACATTACTGCGGTGACCTGGATCGGCCATGGTCAGTTTGGTGACGTAGCTACTGTCGTCATCGCTAGCTTCTTTAATGTCTAGGGTAAAAGTTTGGTCAAAGCCGCCATCATCGCCTGCCACCCAGGTGACCGTTATGGTGTGAAGCTGCGTGGTGTTTATGAATAAAATGGCCGGTGACCGTGGTGGACCTAGAAAAAAGCATTTTATTGGGTGTAAAGCTGAGGTTACATTGCATTTTCCACGGCGGCAGGTTCTTTGTGCGATGTTTTTGGCATCGTTAATGTGTAACTTGACAAAGAGTCCCCTATATTAGGGAGTCCGCTTCCCACTCATTTGTACAGGTGAGCCTTGCCCTAGATTTTGACCCGCTTAGGTCAGACTAACCCTAACCATGACTAAATGGCGGGCGGACTTTCTGTTATACGGACCCTCAGTTACGTAACCCTGGACCAAGCTTGTTTACATTATGAACGGGTGTCCGTTATTTCTCAGATATTACCTTGAGGTCGGGTAGGTTAAATCATTTTGAAGTTCATATACGGAGCCTTTCTGCTTTACAAAATCGCAAGTAGTGAATCCGTGCAAAATCGCACAGCCACTGCCTGCCTCTGCACGGACGCCACAAGAAAAGGTATACATGTATACGGGCTGTATACTGTCACCGTGCAGATATTGAATGGCAACTGTAACCAAGGTTCCCAAGGCAAACGGCGTTCATTGAATAATTTGCTTCCTTGATTGTTAATTCATAATAATTCCTTGTTTTAATTTTGATACGAAGCAAATCCCAAGCTATAAGAGTGTCTTACAATGTAGGTCTAAAACGCATGCGAAGATATTTTGATCCGAATGATACTAGAAGCCAAAATGTAAAAAAGAAAACAGACAATAAGTAAATATGAAACTACTTAATAGAACAATCCATTTGACGCCTTACCTAGATTTGGGTTAAGATACACCCAGCCACTGTCAGCAACGGGCACCGCCCCAGCGTCATCGTGGGTCGTCTTGTCATTTAATTCACACGTATTACTCTCCTTATGATAGTTGGCAGATATGCACTTCGCAGAACCTAGACAGAGGACCGTGCACTGTGTGTCTGACTTGGCGTGATAAACCGCGGGCGGCGAGCCACTGAAGGTGCCGTTGGCCAATCTGAAACCACCGTTCATCAGAAAATATCCTTCGTCTAGCGCAACGCAAGGTGCTGGGTAAATCACAGCGCAAAGGAAAAGAAGCAGTTTGCTATCCATTTGTGAAGTCTATTACGCTGAATGCTACTATTCAGATGCAGAGAAATGTCCGGTTTAGATATTTCACTTCTTTTCTGAAATCGGTTGGTGATAATTAAGTGGGTAAGATGCTGCTCCCTTCAACAAGAAATTATAAATACAACCTGCACGCTTAATCAATAAGCTCATGTTCGTAGCACAAATTAATCCAATACACAAATATACAATTCAATAGTAAGTGTATTTCACGTCATTATTAACATCACTAACAGGATGTAGAGGCAAAACACAGTATCTAAAACCTTGAAAATCAATATTCTCTTTTTTGAAATAAGGCACAGAAGAGACAGATTCATTACTCACAATGTTACGATCTGTACTGTATGTACTGGAGATTACTCTCCACACCAAAATTGTAAATCCATGATTATCTTTCCTTTCGTTTTATCCTGTTGCAGAAATGTTACCATCTGGGCATCAAAAGGTTACGTGCTTTACCACTTTATGATGATAAGGAGAAAATGTTCACTCTCTTGATGACCAAAAAACTTATTCGTATATTATAATAAAAAATAAAAAAAATAATAATAAATCCTTTTTAGCTTGTTATTCTAATAGCCTGATGATTGATGCAACACACAGACTTCCACAAATATCCATTCCACATTATCCGTCGATTTAATCACATTCCCTAATTTGATCATTGTGGGTGATGTCTTGTGCTGTTACGTACGTTATATCTACTGTTGTTCATTTTTCCCATAACTTTCAACTATAAGTTATAAATCTAAGTATTGTAATTACCTAATTAGTTAATGGTGTGTTATTAGACCAAAGCTCAGAACTTCTATTGATACAAAATTTCCATTACCTCTTCGTAAAAGAACGATAACTTTCTTGTTGCTATAGCTAACTGTTTCTTTCCATAAATTCGTTTCTTTGGCTCGATCATTGACATGCAGGTTCATCAGTCATTATGTACCACTAAATGAACAAAATAATGTTACAACTAATTTTCATAACAACATGTACCCTTTAGAAGAAAGGTAATTAAGGTGTTGGAAGGCCCGTTCCAATTTTGGTACTTTGTAGGACTCACGTTTTAATAATAGAACTGGAAATAAAACTATCAAACTCATGTCAATTCCACAGCCACAATTAAGACAACGATGCTCAAATAATTCTGTTGCGCCAGACATCCTTTGCCACACCAACATGTTTATACTGTCTACTTTTCGGCTTCTGAGGGCGAGCTGGTACATGCATATCGTATTGCCAAGTCCATATTTTTACGAACCCCCGCCCAATCTCATCACTAGTAACAGACCTGGCCCCGTAACTCGAAAGCATCGCGCATTGCGACGAAGCGCAAGCGTCTCGATTCCATAACTCACCCATGTTAGTATTCGCAATACGCGTTGCTTTTGAGTTTCGGAGCCCTGATCTTCATTCATCCCCTTCTGACAACAGTGAACGCAATGTCTACAAATTTATTATCAATTAAAACTGCAAATCTCAACTACCACAATGCGGCAAATTATGCACAAATCCAGCCAAAATGAGTGTAAATACTAAGATATTTTATAATCGAGGCACATACATTGTAAGTAGATCGTAGTGGAAGGTCAATTCATTACCAAAAATTTGAAGAAGGACGGTTTAAAAGCTCTTTTACGGCCGATCGATTTATCCCTGGTCATGTCGACTGTATTCCATTCGTATAAGAAAATAGCAGAAGTTGTTTAAATGGGTTACTGGAAATCTCCGCTCGCTTTATACTTTTTGGTCAAAAAGGATGCCACACCCCCAATTCCATGTGCTTTTATTTACAAACTATCACCTCACGACTGTAAATTTTAAACGGTGCTTTTTATTCCTGATACCACATCTTACACGATTAATGTTTCAGAAAATACAAAATAGCAGTGACGATATCCATACTTTATACCATTTATTCAAATTAATAAGATGTATCCCCTCAAATCCAATATTTTCCTGTGATTTTCAAGACGCCAATTTAAAAGACGCCATCAAATGTCACCAAATTTACACACAATTAGCATCAGGATGTGCTCGTTAAACGTCACGTGCCTAATAGCGTGTGTGTTCACCGCGTACTGCAATCACCTCATATACGCGGTGCGACAAGCCTTCACAAATGTAACGATTATTTTTATAGGATATTGTCCAATTCTTCCTTACAAGCTTGGCAAAGCTGGTCCAGATAATTTGGAGACTGGTTCTCTTCTGCATTGCACACGCCAGTTACTGCCACAGGTGCTCAGTAGGGTTAATACCAGGGTTCAGAGATGGTAGCTCTCTCCTCAGAACATTGCTCTTAATTTTAATAAATGTTATTTGAAATATGGATATTTTCAGCGCTATTTTGTATTTTCTGAACCAATTAATCAAGTTAGATATGGTACCTGGAATTAAAAGCATTGTTTATAAAAATTAATTTGTAAATAAAGCACACAGGAATTCGGGGTGGGACGACCTTTTTGACCTATGTTATATGTATCTTTAATGTGTAACAATAAAGACATTCAACAAGAGTTGAAGTGTCCACCTACTTGATTTACCTACGTGCTCTTTGGCAGTAAAAATACGCATTGCTTCTATCATTGCCATGTCATGAATTGTGTAAATGTATTGAATGTTATTTTAAAGCAACTCTACCTAGAAAGACCTATACAACATCTAGATGACATGTATTTCCTAATGTAAATCGTACTACATGTTTGAAGGGTCGAAACACTCGTTGAAGAGCAGCTGAATAAAACTATCGCTTTAGTACTGTTTGATAGTTATAGTATCATAACCAGTTTCACACTTGAGTCGAAAGTTGACCCCTACTTAAGTGAAAAAATTCAGTTTCTTTTGGAAAATTAGGTAAGTTGGGCCTGTCTCAGAAAAGTTGGCAATGACTGATATTTCTGATAGACGAAAGACTATTGCATTTATTTTGGTCCAAAGCAGGCTGAATGTGTTTGTCTGTTGAGATGCTTACTTAGATGTCAAGATCATATTGTGAATCCAGTTCTTATGTAACACACGCATCCTTCAGAGCTCGACTAAAAATGAACAGGACGAATCTTCATCTCGGTGGTCTTCAGGGAATTCTGATGCCCCCGAAAAAGGTACCAGTTAACACCATCAGCGAATGAAGCATGGTTGCCTAGGAGATACCGACCGTTCAAATTGGATGCATGGCAATTAACATACCACCAAGCTCCCTGGAAAGCCTGCGCACAACTTCCATGTTCCCTGGCATCATTATCCCTGTCTTTAGTGGAGAAAGGATGTCCGCTGTGAAAGGTGAGGTCATCGCCTGAAAATGATTTTGCCAAACAATTATTGCACTGCTGGTGTGGTTTTAAATACAATTCTTTATATACCCGTTGCTTTTAGGGCACGGATAAGATATATATTAAAAATGGTCATTTTGGAGGGTTTGAGTGCGTAACAAATTCTTGTTACCTCTTTTCATATTGACAAGAATGTATTGTCATTCTTGATATTGTGTAATGAACATAAACATATGACGAATGTCCTTTATATAATTTTGGTACGCTTAATTCAAGCGTGGGCTCGAAATAGGACATTACGTTTTCATCTAAATTAGTGGATAACGCAATCCAAAGATTCCACGGTTCGTGTCAGATTTACGTAAGGTCGCGCAAAGAAAACCCAAGTCCACATAATGACCAGTTAATGATTTTTTCGTTGACGCTCAGTAGCTACATGTTCTACGTGAAGTCTCCAACTCCTAGCTCTCCTAACCTCCTCCTTCTTCTCTGTCACCTCTCTCTCTCTCTCTCTCTCTCTACATGTCTCCCTCAACCTCTCTCCAGGTATCGCTTACATACTTATTTCTTATCTATACATGTATGGTCGATGACGCAAACTTTAAATACCTGTAATTGTATAATTTTAATTAATTAATTAATTAATTTTAATTAATTAAAATTTCTTTACCTCACCGTTATACAAAGAGGCCGCCACATTACTTGAGAACTATTGGACCACAACACGTTACATCATAAGATATCTGTGTCGGACACGACAATTGGTCGTTTCAACTCTAACTTAATTCCTTGTGGGTAATTCTGTACGTTCTTAACTCTTAATGAGCATATTTCAAAAACCCTAACCGCATGTATCGTAGGTATCTAATTTACATGCTGCAAAGTGCTAATTTGTTTTAACTCACCTGCGTCTCCAGAATACGTCCCCACCATAAGCTGATAGTTCGTCGTTTCCGATGAGATACTCATGTTAGCGTACCAGGCATAGGCCCAAACACCCGAGACGTCCTCCATGTCCACGCGTAGCTCATAGATATCTTGGGTAGTGAGAAGATGTATCTTGTCATTGCCTGAAATATTACAATATAAACATAATTTAGTTACATATTTTAATACATTTTACGTCATTCGCCCGCAACAAAAGAAGCCTTTTGCATGTGTTTATTCATCTTAAGCCAAAATCTTATGTTCTGAGCAAGGCATAGAGGAAACAAATGGCTTCATTGGTTATCTCTAGACCCCATAATACGTAAACAATATATATTCCATGTACCTAGCCAGTGTTCCCCGCTCAGTGTCCCAAAGCCGTGTTTGTAGTCATTCCAGCCTCTGTAGAAATCCACGGAACCATCCATGCGCTTCTGGAACAACTGTGAAAATTAGAAGGAATATATTATGTTTGCAATAACAACACCTAATATTTTATGAAATTTTAAAAGAACAATCAAAATGTCAACAGACTTGCTTGTTAAGAAATGAATATACAGATTCGAGTGTGGATACAATGTCGCGGTACGGAAATATGATATCGACTTAAAAATAATCAAGTAAATAATTAAAGGATCAGAGAGGCGATACCGCCTCCAGATATTGCACCACCAGCTGGGGTAAGTGCATTCGTACGGAAAACCAAATATAAAGGGACACCACCACCAGTCTTGTGCTTGACAAGCTCTATAAAATGCAATAAACAAGAGTTCTCAAAAAAAAAAAAAAAAAAAAAAAAAAAAAAAAA